TCTCGGATTCTTGCAACATTTTCCACCTGATGATTTTTATGACACTGTTGCTTTTCGAACATACCTACGTGTTGCAGTTGGTTTTTGTTTTCTTCATTGGTGTACTCACCAGTCTCATAAACAACCATGTCGAAAATGGAATCGGAGATTTGACAGAACATGTTTGAAGTCTGTTCGCACTTTTGTACAGTTGCAACAAATGTTCTGTCAATCCAACACTGTATATATACTTCTTCATGCAATTGTCATATCGGGACTCAGCATTCGTCTTTCCAGCACAGAACGCTACATTGGCAGTACCATACACACGCTACACGATCGTCAGAACACCAGACAACGCAAGCTGAGACAATTAAAACAAGCACAACCGGTGTCATGCGAATTGGCACTCCATTGGTTTTGCAGCCAAAACAACTATTATCAATTTGTCGCATTGCCGTTACTACACACCAACACAACATTACAAACACGAACGCTGGAAAGCTACATCATCCAAAAGTGGCGTCCACCACTCAACTACCCTTTTATCCTACAACGACAAGTCACAAAACAACATTCAACACCACACTTACGACAAGCACTACGCACCACTTATTTGGGAATCGGAAACGGGCTCTACGCTCAGCTTCGACGACGACTGATGTATCAACAAGTTTTCCAATTTTACGACCACAATCTTTCCAAGCACACCACAGCTTGGGTTCAACTCCACATTCTTGCTGAACAGAGCCAACGCTCATTTGACATGCAACGCCACATTCGATCCAGTTCCACCCACTCCAATCACCTTTTTGCTCTTTACAAACTGGCCAACCAAATGGATGACCCACCACGCACCCGTGTACGCAGCCTTATCAAGTCAGCCATACAATTTCGACAACTACCACTACCACCCACTCCACGACCATTAATTTTACCACTTCTTTGTCACACAACCTTTGCAACACAGACACGCATCTGGCTTCGCCAATTAGCCAGACAACAAAAACCGTGGCTACCACCCTTCCACGTGCCAAAATGCAACATTACAGCAGGCAAACACACAACACTGAAACAAGCATTATTCTCTCACTTCAGTTGGATGAGACAATTTCAGTGGCATATTCCTCCAGCATGCTTATGTCACCAGATCACAACACAGCACCCGCAACTCCTCACCACTACACTCGACAATTCCCCACACATTGCCAGTCCAGCAGGACATCTAACCATTCCATTCCGCCTCCAACAATTCTTATCCACACATGCCGGCACGCAGGTCTATCCTACCAGACAACACTACATCCAATGCACATGGCCAACATTACAACGCTGGCTTCAACACCACAATCTCTTCAACATCACCTATGAACATTGGCACCAACATGTACATGAGCAGTGGACACAGCACTTGACACACGCACAAGAGTCCGTCACGCATCGTGACATCAAATACCTTAAGTCAATCACCAAATCACTAGTGGTCCACTGTCGGGACCATGCACCATCAGCCATTTTTGTTTTCTGTCCATACCTCTACTGGACCGTTCTTCGCAGGACTTTTGGAGACACTACAGTTTACACACAGACCACTCTCACACCAACACAAGCAACACAGTTTCTCCAACAACTTGCCAACCAACCTTGGTTGCGCAAATACAAGTGGGGTTGCAGCAGCACCAACCAATGCCCCACGGCCTATGTTCTTTTAAAACAGAAGAAACAATTTCTTGCAGCTCGACCTGTTATCAACTATCGCAGGTTTCTTTTCGCAAAACTCCTCAAAGCCACAGCCATTATCCTTCAACAACTACTCCAATCTTGCATGCCAAACACCTTTGGTCTTCAGTCACTTCAACAGATCTTTTCCAATCTCCAACAATTCCTCACACACATACCACCAGACGCAGAGCTTACAGTCCACAATCAAGACCTTGCCGGCTTTTTCACTTCTATTCCAGCACAGCGCATCATGCACTCGGTACGAACACTCCTTGACTTCTACAAACAACAACATCCACATGTTGATAACAATACAATGTTCACTGTCAATCTTCGGCAAACAGACAACACCTTGCGGATGTTCCGAGGCCGGCCTCGCAAAGCAGCCAACAGCCATCACCAAATCCGATTTGGCGACATTTATGACATTTGTCAACTATCCTTGCAAGCATCAATCTTTACACACATGAACCACACCTTCCAGCAAGTACGTGGCAGCGCTATCGGCAATCAAATCAGCCCGGTTCTCGCCAACATTACAGTTAGCCATGTGGAACATCAGTGGCGCACACAGCCACAAATCCAATTACTCCTACAACAATTCTCTGACCGTATCTATATCACCAGATACGTTGACAACCGACTTGTTCTTATCGACAAATCACAACAACATCATGCAGGCATCCGGCACTTTCTCACAGACACTTTCTATGAACCTCCGGTTCTCCTTGAACAAGAACCAGACCTATCCTTTCTTGGCTGCACAATCGACCCTGATCGTCAGACCTTATCCTACATACAACCAACCAACACTTGGCAATTCCAACCTTTTGCTTCAGCAGCATCAAAGCAACACAAACTATCAGCAGCATTCAGCCGGATTTGCTTGGCTGCTCGACACAGCTACCCACGTAAACAAGCAAAAGATGATGTTGAGTCCTTAATTCGAAGGTACGTATCGCTCGGATATCCCGAGAAAGTACTACGAGCCAAGGCGTCTCAGATGCTTCGGCATACTTGCTGATTGGTTCTTTGGTCAAGTAGGAGCTTTGATTTAATACCTAATATCCTCACCTCAAACCACCAGTTTTATCCGTCTAGTTTCAAAAAGTAGGTTTGTTTGACTCCTGTTTTCGACATATGTGACTCGAGACCAACAGCACTGAGGGGTGATTTCCTCACATTCAGTCCAAAACAACCACACCGAGGGAAGTCGTTCTTGGAAAAATCGTGCTCAGCGGCTTGATATACGTCTAAGTGAAAACCTTGGATCTAAGGGAGCAACCAGTGGAACAGTAACATCGTGCCCTAGTGGCTTGCTGTGTGTGAGAAACCCTGAATCAAAGGGAAAAGCAGGGGGCCCGTGGACGCATAGATGGCACGGGCCAACGAAGACCCATCTATGTCGTCGTGAAAACGTACCTGCATCCGAAATGGCAAGGTGGCCAAGCCAAAAACCACCCAAGCCGACATGTCATGACATGACATGACATGACATGCTAATGTAACAACACGACATGACGGTTATCATTTCATCTCATTTCACCCTCTCCATTATGGAGTTTACCAAAGTGAGTGAGTGAGTGAGGGAGGGAGGGAGTGAGTGAGTGAGTGGATGCTGAAGTGAGTGAGTGAGTGAGTGTGAGAGACTGTGAGGGAGGAGGGACGGGAAGGAAGGAGCGGATACAGAACTAAAAACAAAAACCCCACACGTCAATGTGGGGAAAAAGGACACTTACATAGGGCTTACCAATCACTTGCAATTATTGGGATCCTCTAAGTAGACAAACCCTCCGGCAATTGTTCACGTAGCTATGGAATCCATAGCCCATTCTCAAAAGGTAAGTTCGCAGCTCTCAAACTGTTGAATTACCAGAGGGTATGATCATAATGCTGGTGGATTTTAATTTGAATCTACCCTCTGGTAACCGTTTACATAACTATGGGAAATCACCATTTTTAATGGGTAAATCAACTATTTCTATGGCCATATTCAATAGCTTTTTGTAAGTTTACCAGAGGGTAAGTGTAGTTTTAGTATATATTAATCACTGATTAATCATCCAAAATCATCCAAAAATAGCAACGTAAAAATCATAGGGTATGGATATTGTTGAGGTTTTGCAGATGGGTTGAATCCAACAACCATAGGACGGCACCTTGTGGGAGAAAAAAATCGGGGAATGCTCATTGAATACTACGGATTTTCTTTGCCAATGGGGATCCAGCTAACCAGCGTGAAAAACTCACGTGATTTTTTTTGCAGTGTTGTTTTTTCATGTATGTACTTTATTGTACTTTGGATTGCTCGATCTTGACAGGGTCAAGTTGACACACAGTTTTTCATGATAATGTATATATATTTATAATTGTATATAATTATACAGTTTCAAATATATACATATATAATATATACATATATATAGGTAATTATAACACAATTACTGTGAATATTTACATTTTACCTAACTATGATTAATATTGTTTTCACTTCATGACGTACTGACATTGCATTTGATAAGTCATAGATATTGACTTTGATTCTCCGATTTGCTAGGAAACAATCATCCGTTCTTCGAAAGGTGTGAGGAAGAGATCATCGACGATGGCCGAGTGGAGGGAACGATGATCTACCTACCCCCTGAGGTGCCAAAACCTGGAAGGGTGTGCCAGACGGCCGAAAAGTTGAGAAACTCAGGGCTTGATGTACGATGCTTTGGGATTCAACCCAGGGATCGAAACTAGTCAACCCATAACTAGGCTATATCCTGCATATAACTGGTTATTTTATTTCTGTATTACCCACTTACAATTCCAATGCACATCCAAATCCGGAGTCCATGTTCAGACACTGATAGCTTACAGTGTTTTTATTGGATGATGAACAGTCTAGATGCGTTAAACATCATTTGGATTCTTCCAATTGGTAGTTATTCGATTCTAACCTCTGGTCTAATAGACTAACAGTTTGCAATTTATTTGCGATTCAGAACAGAATCACCACTGTAAAAAAAATACTATAACCTCCAGTAATTAGTCACATGGCATGCTGGAAAATCCCCCATTTGAGCCTCCATTTATAGGAGATTTCCCAGCCCCCCTTTACACCGGAGAGTTAAGAAGGTTAGGAAGCACCATCAAAAAACCGTCACTTGCCATTCTTTTAGCGACAAAAAAAGCATTATGAATCATGAGTTATTATCCATGATGAACCACTAGTCACCATTTTAAACCCTAAATTTACCATGAATCAGCAACACTAACCATCTATAGCCACAGGGCAGGCCTCATCTCTCGCCATGTGCCATGACGCCTCAGCGAAGGTGGTGAAGGGCGGCGTGCCCACATTGGCCTCAGATGCCTGGGCGCTAGGGTGCGGTGAAACTTCGGTGAGATCGTATGATTTGAGACATGTCTAGTTTAGAGTAAAACAATAATTTCACCATGATTTACATAGTTTATATGAAGTATTGTTGATGCTTCAGTGTACTTTTATTAAAATATGTTAGATATAGACAATTCACCATGAATGTAAATCATTTCCTGAGACAATACCTTGGAGTTTATTTCCTGGAGGCTAAGGATTTGGAGTTTCTTAGATCAGAATGTGGTTCAACCTTGGATGCTTCAGTGGCTGGAATTCAATGCTCAGATTATGGAATGTGATGGTATATTAATTGTGGGTTGATTTACTATGTCATGACAGATTCTGGAATCGCATAGGTTGGATGGCTATAGATTGGATCTCGGGATGATCTCGTCACCTCCGTGTTAACAATCTTTGTTTCCACATCTTTGTGGCATTCTTGGTTTTGATGAGAAGCCCCGAAATTTCGATAAATTTGGGCGAAGTCCGCAGAATAGGCCGGGGAACACCCACAGCCCATCACAGCCCACCACATTTGCCGGAGCCAGGTGTTTACTCTACCAGCTGTTGACTGGGCGTCCACCGGTTTGGGCTGGGGGCCCCTGCGGGCCCCATGGGGCCCCATGGCCTGCTACAGCCATGCCTGGATGATCATGGCGAGGCTTAAAAAATATCGAACTGGTAGGATATATTACAAGAAGTCAGGGGGAGTTGAATGTGAATGGAATCTACACACATGTTTCATTATATGTTAGGCATGTAAATATACATATACATATAAATATATACATACATACATACATACATACCTACCTACCTACCTACCTACCTACCTACCCACCCACCTACCTACCTACCTACATACAGATGATGAATATATATATATATATATAGATGATGAATATGTAAGTGTATTTATATTTATATAGTGATGATGATGATGATGATGATGATGGTGATGGTGATGATGAAGATGATGATGGTGATGATGATGATGATGATGATGGTGATGGTGATGATGATGATGGTGATGTTGATGGTGACGATGATGATGGTGATGGTGACGACCATGATGGTGATGGTGATTACGAAGATGCCGATGATGACGATGATGATGGTGATGGTGATGACAATGAGGATGATGATGATGATGATGATGTCGATGGTGATGATGATGATGGTAGTTATGATGATGATGATGCCGATGATGACGATGGTGATGGTTATGCTGATAATGATGATGATGATGATGAAGATGGTGATGATGATGGTGACGACCACGATGAGGATGGTGATGACGATGATGCCGATGATGACGATGATGATGATGATGGTGATGGTGATGATGAAGATGATGATGGTGATGGTGATGACGATGATGATGATGATGGTGACGACCACGATGAGGATGGTGATGACGATGATGCCGATGATGACGATGATGGTGATGGTGATGATGAAGATGATGATGGTGATGGTCTTGATGATGATGATGATGATGATGATGGTAGTTGTGGTGATGATGCCGATGATGACGATGGTGATGTTAATGGTGATGATGACGACGATGATCGTGATGGTGATAATGATGATTATGATGACGATGTTGACGATGATGACGGTGATGACGTTGATGGCGATGATGACAATGATGACGATGATGACGATGGTGACGATGGTGATGGTGATGATTTTGACGACAATGATGACAATGGTGATGGTGATGATGATGATGACGATGACGATGACGATGAAGATGAAGATGATGGTGATGGTGATGGTGATGGTGGTTGTGACGATGATGATGACGTTGATGATACTGTAGATACATGACTGATACATTTTGCATTACATCTACATACGCGCAATGCCCGGACTCTATGTTCCACTAGTCCACTCTGAGATGAAGATCCCCAGTTGGGATGGAGAATTCCACACCAGGACCAGCTTCCCGGGTAAGGATCTATTCGGAAGGCTGGAAGGTCAGATAATCTCAACTTGAAATCTTCAAACTGTTAATGTTCATAAATGCATTTTTATTTCAAATAATATGTATATATATATATATGTATATATATATATTGACACTAGCCTAATAGCTGTAACAGCGAGCACGGTCTAGAGCACGATTTTTGGCACGAAGGAGAGCACCAAAAAGCACGATCTAGAGCACCGTTTTTGGCACGAGGGAGAGCACCAAAAAGCACAATTTTTGGCACGAGGGAGAGCACCAAAAAACACGATTCTGTGCACGAGGGAGAGCACCAAAAAGCACGATCTAGAGCACATTTTTTTGCACGAAGTAAAACACCGAAAAGCACGATTTTGTGCACGAAGGAAAACACTCAAAACAACGTTCGCCCAAAATATAAAGAAATCCTTTTGTTGGCTGTTACAGCTATTAGGACGGACTCAATGTATGTATATATATTTTATATAGTGTCATATATGATTTATACCGTTTGATACTTCCAGAGTGAGGTTTCGTGGTGGGAATCAAACTTCGACCCCACAACTCCCGTTTTTGTCGAGGCTGATAGTGAGCTGGAGGAGGCGCCGATGAGTTTCCCAACCTCCATTCAGATGGGGGTTTCCAATGGCTGGTTGGTTTATTTCATGGAAAATCCCAATCTAAATATGGATGATTCAGGGGTACCCCCATGACTATGGAAACCTTCATATAGATGATAGGGTATTTCTCAGTTTGCCGCAAGAGTACTAGAGGGTAGTACACATGTTAGACCAACCCACTTTTGGGTGTAGCCCTGTTTTTGGGGCAGAGGCGGCATGTGATGATGACAAAACCAACTGTGCTTTGTATACAGCCAGCAAAATGAGCAACTACACTAAGTCCACACCTGTCAAACAGCCAACTTGATAACATAATAAGGAACTTGATAACAACAGATCGACTATCGGATGATGTTTTCTACAAATCAAAATAATGTCAACAGCAATATCAGCAACAAATCCTCCACCTATGATATGTTTGCGCAAGCTGCAGGGCTTGACTTCTCCGGGGCTGACATCACCAGGGTGTGCAAGGAATGAGAAGACATGCCCCATGGACGATTGTTCTGTTGCGATGATTTTGGTGTTGAGTCAAGACTTGTACCCCTTGAGTCCTGCAGTTATGGCCATTTATTAGTTATATTATAAGTACTTATAACCCCATTTATAGAATGTATAATCCCATTTATAACCAGTTATAACTGGTAAATGGCCATAACTGTGGAGTTGCAATGTTAAATGTCGTGAACTGCCCTTGCCCTTGACTGTCTTGACACTTGAACTGCCACAGCTATCTCACTATGTTTGGTCACAAAATGAGATACCCGTGTTGGTAATCAAAATGGGGTGTACCTCCTTGTTCTGGTTGAATAGGGATTGTTTCCCAAAGTTATAACTTACAACGCCTTACAACCAACGATCTGAATACCAACCGCAATCGACCGTAGCCCACCAATATTTCATGGGATGAGGTAGTGGTATTTTGGGGGGCTAACTCATTTAAAAACCCCAATGGAAGTATTTTCGCTAGTCCCTTTGCTTCACTTTCCACGGTTGATGGTGGAGGCAAACAATATTCCCCACGTCCCCAGACAATGAGCTGGACATCTGTGTCGAATCGCTGCAGGAAATCAAGTCAAGGATTGTCAGTTTTCAACTGGATGATGGTGCGATGGGACTGGGAGCCCATTGTGACCATTGTGGCTGCTGTTGTTGTGCTTCTACCTGCTGCAGTGGTGGTTTTGTTGCTGTTAAACCCGTTTCTGAAATGTGTTTTCTCATTGAAAAGCGCCGGTGCGGTCGGACTCACTCAGATTTCACAAATAGATTTCATAAATGTCATAAAGATCATAAAGTCTCCATAAGTCTCCTTGAATTTGGGGTTCTATTCACACATTCCCTTCCACCTTTTCAGTTGGGAACAGGATCCGAGTGAAAATTTTCTAGGGATCCCGAGTAGGCAAAGTTACATGTAGAAACTATATGGATTATATGGATTATATACATGGATGCACTAGTACCTTTTCATAGCACTTATATAATTTATATAATTCAATTTTCCAATTTTCGTCCCTGTTTTTTTTGTCACTGTGATATCTGTGGGTTAAGTCTTTGGGGATCCTGCGGGGGGATTACAAATGATCCATGTTGGCGGCTGAAGATATTTTGTTTAACCCATACTGAGTATAGGCCTTTTACAGTTGTAACTGAAGTGGTACTTACAATTATTTTTGTAACAGTTTTTTACGTGACTTATAGCAGTTATGTTAGCACTTATAAGTCATGATCTGACCAGTTATAAGTCTTACTTATAACTGGTATAACTGTTTTTGTAACTGTTATAACTGTTGTTTTTCTATTTTGTAACTGTTATAACTGTTTGGAAGTGAGGAAATGCCAGGAATAGAGCATGCCGATAATCACTTACACGGTATTATTTGAGCTGTGGAAAGGAAACTCAGCAACCAAAGATGAATCATGACGAGCACAATCATGAAGCTGGAGAATTTGATTTTATTTGTTTTCCTGCAACTCATGAATCCACAGAAAAATGCATGTTGCAACAACTTTGGCTTGGAACATATGCATTGATTCAGCAACACAGCATGAAGTCAAATGCAAAAAGAGCAACATAAACAATGAATACAAACAACTATCTATCGATAGTGTATTTTTCATATCTGTGTCAGTAATATGAAATGTAAATAGTAAATTTCAAATATTCACAATTAATTTAAGGCTTCATTAATGTAAATATTGAATTTCAAATATTCACAAATCTATGATAAATGTGTTTCAGATTCGGTTTAGTTAAGCTTTTATGTTTCATTTTTTGTTCAGAAACGACTGAACTTAAACACATACAATGTTTGATTTGGATTACTAATGATTACTATTTTTTGCAAAAAAATATAAAGTTAAAAAAAAACAAGTAATAACATATTATTTTTGCTCAACTAAATTACTAAATTGAATTAAGTTTAAAGATCAAATGGTTCAGAATAAAGAATATTGTTAATTAAATATGTTTAAGCTTATAAAAGCTATATTTCAGTTGGAACTAAACCTAGTTAAGTTCAGAAACAAATCTGAACTTATCTCTCTCCCAGTCTGAACTAAACCTAATTAAGTTCAGAAAAGTGGCTGAATTTATCTCTCTTCCAGTCTAGTTAAGTTCAGGCATGTTCAGAACTTAACATAATTACAATTTAAATTATTTAAATTAAAATTAGCTAAGTTTAGATCTTTTTCTGAACTTACAATCTCTCCTAGTCTGAACTAAACCTGGTTAAGTTCAGAAAATGTATGAACTTACCTCCCTTCCAAACTAAACCAAGCCTTGTTAAGTTCAGAAAAAAATCTGAACTTACCTACCTTCCAATCTAAACTAAACCTAATAAAGTTTGGATTTTTCTGAACTTGTGTATCTTTTAGTCTAAGCTAAACCTTGCTAAGTTTGAACTTGTTTGAGTTTATCGCTCTTCCAATCTGAACTAAACCTTGCTAATGTCCAAAACTACCTTTAGTTATTGTAGGTTTTGTTTAAACTAAACCTGGTTTTGGTTTGTGTAAATATATTGCCTGAATCAAAGCACAACTTAGTATTTGTTTTATTATATTGTTGTCCCTCCTTTAATATTCTAAGATTCTAAGTGCTGTCACTGTCAGAAGACAAAAATCGTGCAACAACACCCACAGCGACGACTCAAGAAACCATGATGAACTATCCATGACATACATCAAGCAAACAACATCACAATCCATGCAACAACACAGCAAGAAACCATGATACACAATCCATGACATACATCAAGCAACAGATCACAATCCATGACACACATCAAGCAAGACGTCACAATCCATGCAACAACGCACCCAACAATGCACATTGCATGACCCAAACCAAGCGACAGTTGACAATCCATGCAACAACAAACAACGTGATAGAACAACTCCATGGCACACATCAAGCAACAAATCAAATCCATGAAGTGCAACATTAAAAAAAAATCACTGCATAAGAAAACACATGCACACGAAACAAGCTACATCAGTTCACCAATGAAAACTGTTTGTGTTTAACTGTTGTTCCTCCTTATCACAACTGATATTAACTGTTTTTGTAACTGCTATAACTGTTTTAACTGGACTTATAAGTTCAATTAAAGCAGTTACAGAACAGTTGTATAAATGCGTTAAGTATGCTAACTACAGTTATAACTCACTATGCACTTATAAATAGTTATAACCTACTTATAACCTACTTATAACCTAACTTATAACCATATCTGCCATATCTCCTCACTCGTGTCCCTTAGGGCCTTATCGGATAACTATCCAGTGGCGACAAAATTCCCTGTTTTTTTATGGGCAAATAGTTGGAGCTACGAATCGAGTTTCAGCAGATGATTTTCCTTGAGCGATATGAATCTCAGCAGGGAAAACCTGACTGGTCAGGGTTGAAACCTGACAATCTGAAAAGCAATACGGAAATACCGGCATTCCCAAATGGTGTACGACTATCATCGAGTATCAATCCATGAGCATCCCCGAAAAATCCTGGCTGGTTTACTCTTGAAGCCATAGCCCATTTAGTTCGATGATGTACCTACGATAAACGGGGCTTTCCATAGTCATGTGGCTACCCCGATAGCTGGATTGTTTATCATTAAAAAACATTTTAAAAAAGCAATTGAAATGGATGATTCGGGGATCCTACATTTTTCGAACCCCTTATGTTAATGGTGATTCCAGTTCGCAAAGTCCAAATTATGACCAAAGGGGGGCTTACCAAAGGGATTGCACGAGGGTAGCGAGAGGCATTCTGCTTGGGGTTTTCTGAACTGTTCGACCGCAGCCAAGATAAGTCTTACTTAGAGCTGTAAAGTCTCCGAAAAGTTGACTGCTGGAAACGATAGCAGGCAGGAATTAATGGTTGGTTCCAAACATGTTTTCTGTTGTCTGTTGGATGGAAAAAGACAGTTTGGACGATTATGATATATGATAATTCTGGCTCCAATCGACATATTTTTGGTGTGGCTCAACCACCAACAATGTGATTGAAAATCGCATGCTTGCAACATGTTTTGGGGCCCCTCTTTTTCGCGTGTTACATGGAGACGCAGCATACGCTTGCAAGCATGAGAATGCCAAATCAGAAGACCGTGCGGCACAACGTGGTTCACTTGGGTGCCATGGCCGCACAGTTCCAATTTGGATCAGCTGTGGATCATTTGCCGGCACCTGCTAGCGGCATCTGAATGTTGTGGATGTTCCATACCTTTTCGAAAAAGATAAAAAGATAGTCAGATAGACAAGAACAGTTCTTGGATGCTGGTGTCCCTCACTTCCATACCTTTCGCAGTTTTTGAGACCTTGGCAAGTCCGAATGATTGTCTTAGCATGTCTTAGCATGACTATACATAAGCTCCACTTGCAAGCATCCCCATCTTCCTGGTGAAACATATTGTTCGTTTATGTTCGTTTCATCCCCATTTTCCTGGTCAAACATGTATTGTTTGTTCTTCATCGTTGGGTCTCCTTATCAAGTTCGACCATGGGACGATGTTCCAGTCAAACTGTATGATGATCATAGCAGCAACGATAGTAGTCATGACAATGATAATATGGCTATGGATCAATACCTATTAATACCATTTTTAGGGGGATGAACATCCATAAATCCCAGCTATTTTGATGTGAACAGAAGGGGTACAAGGTTTTGACACACTGCCATATGTTTATTTAAAATGATCATAATAGTAGTACTGACAACATAGTAACGACAGCAATCGTAATTCCCAGAAATATCGTATTTATATAAAAAGTGCAGTAATATTGATTCCAGTAACAATAACAACATACATAACACTCATATTCTTGGGATGGGAACATGTTCACCACCAATCACTACAAACACAACATGGTGATCCTGGGGTTGTTCAGTTGAACATCCCTTAACCAAAGATTTTTGTTGACATGGATTTTCGTTGCGCCAGGGGAAGACACATCACGAGATGTGCCAGCAGTTTCGGAAGGTCCGCCCGGCGCCAGATTTTGTGTTTCTGGGGAATTGACCGGGGTGAAACGAAATGGCAGTATGTCAAAACCTTGTACCCCTGTATTGATCCATACCCAAATGGCGTGTGGTCGACAAATCAGCCACAAAACAACCACCGGACATGACGCGTAAAGAAATGGCAGCCGAAGATGTGCTGAAATGGTCAAATCGACCATGAAATCACCAGCATTTCACAGCTACCTGGAGGACATGCTAGCGCTGTGCCATTGTGATTGGGTTTTGTTGGTAACCGGTTAAGCTGTTGACCATGGCAATGACCATCCAAAGATCCATGAAGTATAGAGATAATCAGTGATAATTTGATTCAGATCTACCATAAACCATAGAATTTGGGTGCCCAACCTAGTATGTTTGATGAACTCGAGCCACTGGTCACTGGAGTCCTATAAACGTCTACAAAACACCAGCTGACTAAATTTTGCAAAAGCTGTCGTGAGTCGTCACTGGGTGAAAGCGCCAAGTTTGTCTCAGGTAGCACTTTGTTGCCAGGCGGAAGAAGTGAAATAAACACATGTGATGCCGCTTGCAAACATGATGTTTCCAACTGTGCCAATGAGATTTCGCTTGTATGCTGGAAGAAACACTTTGTGGAACATCTGCACGAAACCATGCTTGTGTTTACCACTAGATAAGGAGCTGTCGAGATCTGTAACTTCTCTGGCATGGGGAAATTTCAAAATGATCTCCTGGCTTTGTTTATATCTGTGACTTCCTTTGGTTGTCTCATGTTACCGTAGAACGGTGGTGACTGGGAGGTCCCCCCGAGACATGACACGGGGAAACCACCTCTAAGAACCTGCGCTGCAAGGGAAACCATCTCATCACGGCGTAGACAAAGTTGCAATCTGTACACATTTACACAGCAATTTACAGTTAAGAACTGTACAAATGCCGAGTGGGGAGCCAGCAGATGCGACCAAGGTCACAGCTCCATTTCAAACACAGCAGGATGATCCCAACTGACAAATGAGGTTGTTTGCAACTATGGTACCACAAAGCCCGGTATAGTCTTCAAAAAAAATATAATATGTTCTATAATCCTCTCCCCCCAAATACTAAACGCGGCCCCCCGCAAATAATAAACACTTCAGGAAGTTTTTATATGTTTTTATTATTAGGGTGGTATTTATTATTAGAGAACCAAAGCAGACCCCAATAATATTTTAAACCCTTATTTAAAAAAAAAACATGTTTTTTCGATTTCAAAATCAATTAATTAAATGTCCTTTTATAACGCAATTAAAATATTGCCAACAATTGGACTTCGCAGCGGACCCTAATAATAAATTTACATCATTTTTAAAAGGACTATTTTTTTCGATTTCAAAATTGATTAAATTTCCTTGTTTAACGCAATTAGAATATTGCCAAAAATTGGATTTCGAAGCCTCCGCCCTAATATTAAATTAGAAACCTTAATATAAAAATCAAAAATTTTCAGACGGACCCTAATTAAAAAAACACCCGGGGTTGACAAATTAAGTTTGTATTATTAAGGGGTGAAACCTACAAATCGATACAAATAGTAGCTTCATTTTTAATTTGTTTTCTAAAGTGGATCAATTAAAAGTCAAATTGGCCAACCTGAAATTTTACAAAATTGGAGATGGACCCTAGTTTTTATTGTTCGGGGGGGTAGTAATAGGAGGAAGGGATTAATCACATCATATATGTTATATATAATAATATATATATACAGATATATGCACTACTTTTTTTCCTGGATTCCTCCATTTTTCCTTTGTCCAATTTCTGGTGCAGGTCGTAAAGTCCGCATCGAAGGTGCGGAAGGTGCGGAAGGTGCGGCGGCTACACCGCTGGAGGAGTTCCGAAGACTGCTGGGTCAATTGAAGCAGCAGATGCTCGACGGAACGGGACACGGAACGGGGCACGGAACGGCATGGGCCATCGCAAAATCTTGGAGATGTTGGTTGGTTAAGTCAAAACCGTCATGCAGCTACTATATATATATATATCCGGGATTGGATAACGCCTACAGAAAGGGGAGGACTTGGGCTACAGTACAAATTGCCAGCCAGGGGTTGTTTTGTACAAAAAATGGGCTTGTGCCAAGCTTTTTGTAGTTTCATTCATTTTGTAGCGTTCGGAAATCGTTCGGAAGTTGTTCATGTCAAATCCTCATTTGCATTTTGTAGTTGTATATATTGAGTTAGTTGAAGCATCCAACATAAAATCTAATTTGCATTTTGTAGTTGCATATATGTTGAGGAAGTTGAAACATCCATAAAAATATAATTTGCATTTTGTGGCTCCTCCAGACTTGACCAAGAACAATTTGTAGTTTGCAACGGGACAAATATTCACATCCTCCACCGGTGCTCCCAAATAAGAACAGTAATTGAAGACGCTGCCAGTGCCTAACCTATAATTATTTTTAACCCGCTGCCAGTACAGAATGGTATCTAACAACTGCATGGGGTCAACACTTGATCCAATCAAATTCAATCAATGACAACTACAAAATGTTTTCTCAAAAGTATGTTGGTCGGAACTTTGGATGGCATAGACCTAACTACAAAATGTTATTGGGAAATTTCATGTTGGAATTTCCGATTTTCAGCTATTTTTCAACTTCAGATGCATAGCTTTTTGTAGTGCATATCTTGAATTGTTTTCTGAATCAAATCAGGGTGTGCTCTGCATTTTGTAGGGCACCTGTGCAGCCAATTTTGTAGTTGCAGGTCGGATGCATTGTGTTTTGTACCTAGCTCTGCACAACTCCTCCCCCCTTATCTGAACCCCGATCTATATATATATGTGTGTGTGTGTGGTGATACAATGAGGGGTATGAAATAACAATACTGGGTATATGGTGAAGTACAATCAACAACTGGTTATTCAGAGGTGAATGGAGGGAGCGGCAAACGGAGCTAGGGTTGTATCCAAATTCCCCAAAAAAATGGGGAGCCAAGGAGCTGTGAATTCAGCTTCCCAACAACATGATAGAGAAGATCTTACAACTTACAGTACAAACTAAAGTGAAAAAGGACATTTGTGCAAGATGTGAATTCAGCCATTTTGCCATGAACATTTGACATGATGCATATATATATATATACATATGATGTAAGCGAGGAAAACCGCAAGTTTTTTCCTGGTTTGGATAATTAAGAGCAATCTCATTGGCGCAAACACACCACAAATGATAGTTGTCTTGGGGAATGGCGATAATGTGCAAGCATGATTGTCATCATTGCCAATATATTTGCAGCTGTTGCTGGCATGCTTGTGGGTCAAAACAGTATGAAAACATCCCAACAATGGGCACTTCACATTGAAGGTTGGTCAACTCTGACTCAAGGTTGGGCACGAATCAGATTTTTGCACTTGATGTTTCCGTGTTTCTTCGGTTCTATACTGACCCTTCCTGTTTGCATGCAAGGCAACAACGAAAGGGGCCATCAGTTGTAAATTTGCCAGGGAGGAAAACTCTTGATCAGCTTGTTTGAGATACTTAGCCTAGAGGCCCCAACTCTCCACCTGCTTTTGCTCGCCAAGCCTAGCTTCAAACAGTGCGAAGTCTTGCTCTTGTCATCTTCATACAAACCAGTTTTGGGCTGGCGCGGCTCCACATTCACTACAGTTATGGCCATAAAAACCAGTTATAACTGGTTATTTCAATGGGATTATACATTCTATAAATGGGGTTTTCTAAGTACTTGTAACTAATAAATGGCCATAACTGTATCACCGTTCCCATTATGCCATCCCTTTCCCATCCCATCATCCCGCGGCGAGGTATATGGCGGCTCTTTCCTCGAAGCTGAGCCGAAGATGGAGCTCCCAAGGGGGGTGAACAAAAGCCGCCTGAAGTATGCTTAATTCATGTTATATAATGTTACATAATTGCAAGGTGGTGCTCCAAAGTTAAGTTGATTCACAAGTTGGTTGGCTAGCTTTTATGGTGTGTATATATATATCAGAAGCGCATGGGGTTTACACAAGTTTACAAACCAAGAAACATAACTTGGAGGCACCGCCTTTCCAAGTATGGCTGGGCGCTGTATATTCCTAAACTCTGGGATTCTTAACTCAGGTAAGTGGTCAGCAAGAATCGGGGAGATAAGTAGAAATCATGGGGGATCAATGGGTGTAAATGCAGCAATTGCCATCTGCTAATCTCACATGGCAATGGAACATACGCTTTATATAAATGGACATGTACGGTGCATGTTGGCGGGTCTCTACCATGTTCAGACACACTAGAAAAAAACTCACTGATTGGTGGTTTCAAACATTGTTTATTGTCCATAATATATGGGATAATCCTTCCCATTGACGAACTCATATTTTTCAGAGGGGTAGGGCTCAACCACCAACCAGATTATTATTAACCATCATTAACCATATAATAACCATCATCATTAACCATTATTATTAACCACCAACCAGTCATCATTACAAACTCGCTCAAGGCGCACTAGTCTTGGTGGTAGCAGGTAGCAGTTTCTCGCCGGGTCCGAGTTGTTTCACCATGACCCCCAGGGCCCCTGACCAATTCTCGAGGTGGAGAGCCCCGTGTGACTTAAACCAGTGGCAGGATGTACCAGTGATAACGGGGGTTTATCCAACACAGAATGAGAAAGTCGATCAACTGACCATGAAACACAAGCAACAAGTTTCTTAACCAAAGATCAGGGATATATATATATATATAACCAACAATGATGCCGTTGTTTGCCTCTAAGTTTGTTTTTTTTCCCTAGCCAATGATGAGTTGGTTCCCATGAAACTTCCAAATTGGATGGTCACCATGGCGAGCCGTCGGCGCTGTCGCCGAGGAATGTGCAGAATGCCCAGGGTCCCCAGCGTCCCCAGGGTCCCCATCTCAGAGGGATGTCGAGCTTTTAACCGCTCCATGGATGACAGAAATTGACCAATGACACGGGTGGTGGTGCCCCAGTTCGTGAACGCCAAGTTGGTGCCAATAACTCCCATTTCACGATGGTTTATGGATGTTTATGGCAGATAAACCAAGTTTTTTTCTGGGGGGCACCATCCTGCACCAACATTTATCCAATTGCTCATCCACATGTAGGATAATCATGGTGAATTTAATTGTGAATTTAATGGTGATTTTTTTTTTTGGGTGAATGCAGATATTGGATGTCCGTACATTTCAATACATTGAAAATGGAGTTTCATGGCTGCGCACATTTTCATGGCTGTCCAAAGGGAGTTCCGCACGGATCAGTGGATCGTCTGAGGTGGAAAGGAGTTGGAGGCAGAGAATTCCACAAGCTCGGCGATCGGAATTCCGCCCTTTGATTCTCAGCTGCCGCAAGAAGTTGGAGGGCGTTGGAACTGGGACATTTGCAGTGGCAAAGTCGTTGACCAGCGAACGAATCTTGAGAATGGTGGCCTGGTGGTTGTTGTTGCTGCTGCTGTTGTTGTTGCTGTTGCTGTTGCTGTTGCTGTTGTTGTTGTAGTTGTAGTTGTTGTTGTAGTAGTTGTTGTTGTTGTTGTTACTGTTGTTGTTGTTGTTGTTGTTGCTGTTGTCGTTGTCGTTGTCGTTGTCGTTGTCGTTGTGGTTGTGGTTGTGGTTGTTGTTGTTGTTGTTCTGGTTGTTGTTCTGGTTGTTGTTCTGGTTGTTGTTCGTTGTTCGTTGTTCGTTGTTTGTTGTTTGCTGTTTGCTGTTTGTTGTTGTTGTTGTTGTTACTGTTTGCTGTTGTGTTGTTGTTGTTGTTTGTTGTTGTTGTTGTTGTTGTTGTTGGTTGTTGGGTTGTTGTTCTGGTTGTGTTCGTTGTCGTTGTCGTTGTCGTTGCCGTTGTCGTTGTCGTTGTCGTTGTCGTTGTCGTTGTCGTTGTCGTTGTCGTTGTCGTTGTTGTTGTTGTTGTTGTTGTTGTTGTTGTTGTTTGGTGTTTGTTGTTGTTTGTTGTTGTTGTTGCTGCTGCTGCTGCTGCTGTTGTTGTTGTTGTTGTTAGTGTTGTTTTCTGAGATTGACCATGATTTCCAAGAGTTTTGTATGCCATAGGCAGAGACAGACATTGCATCCAAGGCCCTTTTTTTTGAAGCACAGTCAACACAGCTCAATCCTTGCTCATTTGGGCGCATTGGATTATTGCACAGCTGCAGGGTACAGCAAAAACTAATTCCCGCTTTGTTACTTTCCATCCAGCATGAATTTTCTTTCTTGCAGATGGCCTGTCAAACTTCACTAATTGTAAGGAAGGGAGCTTAGCCCAGATTCCTTCCTGCCACCAGCTGCAGGCCATGTCATCTCAGTCTCTTGGCAAAGGAGGTTCCGATCAAAATGATCAAAACCAGCGCGAAATTGGAAGTTCTACAGCTAGATTCTGAATCAGAAGATCACCAACATTGGCGGATATCTAAGCGCCACACCTAGATGCTTGATTTTGGGATATGGTATTTGTTGATCTGGTTGGTGACCGGTGCTTTGGGACGTAAACTTGACATGTCCCATCCTGGGATGGCGCAAGATCATGGATTCCACCAAAAATCCCGATGGCAGTAGGGAAGCAATCATATACCACCCATATTTTGAATTATTTTGATGTTTTATAAGTTTATACCATCCATTTATGGTAAGTTACATTTGGGGATGGTTTAGCATTGCTTTACGAACACTATTCCAGATTCTGCAGTAAGAAAAACATCGCCTGCGCTAAAGGCTGGAGAATTGACATTCGACACGCACTCATCATTAATATCCCATAGGATCCATGTATGGTATATATGCCAACATTTGGGGTATATTGATGGTAAATGTTAGCATATAAGCATACATGGATCCTATGGGATAGAACTTCTTTGAAATTATCGAAGGAAGTTTAGAAGTCAAACTTCCGACGATATGGACAGATGAAAAGCAGAGGTGGAGCAGAAGAATAGAGAAGAGAAGAGCAGAAGAGAGAAGATCAGAGAAGAGAAAGAGTCAGAAGAAAGAAGATGCAGGTGCGCGAAAAGGTAGGAAAGTCGCGAAACACTGTGTTTTTCCAATGATTTGTGGCTCCGGAAAAGTAGGCTCGCTAAAGCAGCGGGTGCGGAGCCAGCTGGCCAGATGAGAGATGATAAATTGCACGCCGTTGTGGCGCAAAGCAGATTTCCAAGTCAAAATGTACAAAACACACCAGGTTCGGACCACTTTTGTCACTTTTGGAAGTTGACATGTCGAAAAAGTGCATGCCGCTGTGGCGCGAAGCACATTTCGAAGTCAAAATGCACAAAGCACTTCAGCTTCGGAACGCTTTTAGAAGTTGCGATGTCGAAAAAGTGCACGCTGTTGTGGCGCGAAGCACATTTCGAAGTCAAAATGTACAAAGCACACCATGCTCGGACCACTTTTGGAAATTGAGATGTCGAAAAAGTGCACGCCGTTGTGGCGTGAAGCACATTTCGAAGTCAAAATGTTAAAAACACCAGGGGTTGGGACCACTCTTGGACGTTCAGATGTCGTTTCGCGTGGCAGGCGCAAGGGATTGTGGACTTTGTCAAAAGTGAGCAGAAACGTGAGGGTTTTGTAGCATTCCCAAAAACGATGGCAGGCCTGGGACATTTGAAGAGGATCTGCAAAGATGCATTTTCCGTGGCAGGCGCAGTACAAGAGACATGTTCATCAGAGCTGTTAGGAGGTCCGGGCGCTGATTTCCTGAGAGGGGTTGCATTTTGGAGCATCAGATCTTCAGGTTTGTGGAAATGATTTTGCGTGACAGGTGCAGCACTTCGTATGATCTGGCATCACTTTTTCGTGGCAGGCGCAGTACTTCAGACAGGTGGACTGGAAAAATCGCAAAACGAATTGGTACGAGGCCGTCAGCTCTGCACTCAACTTTCCATTTTTGAAGGATGTCTCGCAGAATTGTTTCGTTTTTGATGTTGTCAACTTCGAAAATGAGGAAGTCTCGCAGAATAGCTTCGTTTTCCAGCTTGCAGATAGACAGATAGACAGACAGACAGACAGACAGAGAGAGAGAGAGAGAGATAGATAGATAGATAGATAGGTAGATAGACAGACAGACAGAGAGAGGGAGAGAGAAAGATAGATGGATGGATGGATGGATGGATAGATAGACAGATAGATAGATAGATAGGTAGATAGACAGACAGACAGAGAGAGAGAGAGAGAGAGATAGATAGATAGATAGGTAGATGGATAGATAGATAGATAGATAGGTAGAGAGACAGACAGACAGACAGACAGACAGCGAGAGAGAGAGAGAGAGAGAGAAGAGAGAGAGAGAGAGATGGATGGATGGATGGATGGATGGATAGATAGATAGATCGATGGCTAGACAGATAGATAGATAGATAGATAGATCGGTAGGTAGGTAGGTGGGTAGGTAGATAGGTAGATAGTCAGAGAAAGAGAGAGAAATAGAGAGAAAGAGAGGAGACCTCAACCACCTTTGGGTCCATCAGTGGCTTCGCTCTGCCATCCGTGATTCACAACAACCAACCTCTCCTATGTGTTTCCTATTTTTGAAACTTCCGCCACCGCCTTGCGCGGTACTACTGGGAGTATATGCATTGATTGATGTATACATAACTGCATACACCATATAGGTAGTGAGGAGTTCCTACTTTAGCATTTGCAAAATGATTACATTAGATGGTCTAGATGTCACACATATCCAAATAAACATATCAAACGCTCGCACCGTAGCCAACAGAAAGGGGGGATAGTCCCGGGGGCAGATTTTCCTTAGGGTCCCAGTTTGTAGTCAGGCAGCATTTGGTAATCAAAGCTGACACCGGAACATTTACCATAGTGGTAATGGTAGAACAAAAGCACTATGGACTCGGTCAATTTTAGATACTTGCGTATTTCAATTGGTTGATAGGGACTCACCAGCCAAAAAAATACAGAGTATCTGAGACTCACAAGGAAAACTGTGGCCACCAAGGCTCGCAACCATTCGTACCTCCGACGAACCTGCTCCTTCAGCAGGCTTTGAGATGGGGATGGGTTCGCTGGAAGTGGTCTCACTAGATATTGTAACTTGGATTTGGAAGTGTAATCCCATTCCCGATTCATATCAATTACACACTTACACTCCCGTAGAATGTTGTCTTTCCCCCATAGAATGTTGTTGTTTTTTTTCCCCAGTCAGCCATTGTTTCTAGTGGCTTTTGAAAATTGAGGGAATTGGAATACGTATGATTTATGGTGGGCAATCTCCATAGTTAATTGGATGTGTTTTTCAGAAGACTTGCAACTGGAGGCTGTTTTCTTGTGTTGGTCATGTCACAAAATGTGTTCGAAGAATAGGTGGATTGGTGGTCTAAGATCTTGGGCCACTTGGGGTGGGGGGGTTGTTTTTTTTTCCCAGCGGAGCCCTGAAATTGAACGCACACACCACACATTTTGGGATACACCAACAGTTCCATATGGTAAGGAACCCCAAAACAGTCAAATCTTTAGAGGGGTGCACTCTCCCTTTGGCATCTAATTCAAGTTCTTTGAGGCTTTCAAGATCCCCTGGAAATGGTGGAAGCAGGTACCGCGGAACCGTTAGATAAGAATCAAATAAGAATTTTCCAGCCGACCCATGCCTACCATTGCCTACCCATGCCTACCCTGGGTTCTCAAATTGTGAATGATGGTACCCTCAAGTTCTTAAGGGGTTAGTTCTTAGGGGTGTAGTTTGTGGCGTTTTGTAGGGGGACGAAGCCAGACAGGGGTAGTGTACAGTACCCTGAGGAAAGGCAAATAAGAACCAATAACCACAAATCCCGCGTGCCCGAAAATTCTTATTTCAAGCAGAGGGTAGATTCGAGGTGAATCCAGCAACCCACCCCTGAAGTTCTTAATGCAGTGGGTTTTTTACAAATGGTTTCGCTGTAGCATCAATCCCATGTGCTCCATGTATGAAGTAGTTACAAATATTTACCAACATTTTCACCCCAAAATTCAGCCAACTGTACCTGGAGGATTTACCAACATTTAGCCTAGAATCTAGCAAATAGGCAAATAGTCCATACATGGAGCATCACGGAGCACATTTACTGGACTTACATATTGGCTGTTTGCCACAGGACTATTCTCTGGTAATCAAGTGTGGCTGGCTGGGAAAACTGCTGGGAGAAGAAATGAAGTAACTGAGGGAGCTTTCCAGCAAACCATGAGTACCAGAGGGTAAAGCCACTATTCTATCATTCTTGTTTGCTGATTTTAAAGTTATATAATATATGCCACTCATTCCTGGAGATATCCCCCATAAAACCCGTTAACATCAACTAGATCCAGCATTTTCTCCTGGGGAGGCTATCCCTCTCCCATGGTGTCCCCGACCAAAACCCGCCAGGAGCCGACGTGTCATACTCCGGAGAATCAGAGGCGGAGTCGTCTCAAGCGACCATGAAATCCACACCCCTGACGCGGCTGGGCGAAAAAAATACGAAAGGATCCATGGAACTGGGTAAATCAGAGATGTTCTTGATGTGATTTCATGGTGATTTTGTATGATGTTGATGATGTTGATGGGATATAAGTAACATGAATTAACCAAGAATATGATGCCTGGACCAGGAAATGTTTCATAGTTGGAATGCCTGGAATGCTTAAAATGACTAGAATATATAGATATAAATCTGATGTTTGGGGTTGAACATGGATCCAGTTAAAGACTGGGAGATGGTGAGATTGAGAAGAGTCGAATTGTCACATCAGTCACATCTCCTGATCTTTGTCAAATTGTCCTTAAACAAATGGGACCCCAAAACAATGCTTTGTCCAATGTCAATGCCTATAGCTTTTGGATGGATATGCCACATTGATTTGGGAATCATTGGAATCATTGGAATCGAAGATATGTTTAGGCACTACAAAAAATGGAATATATCTAGCATAGCGTATCAACAATCAACAGAAACGGGGGATTGATCATTTGGGATGATACTGAACAAAATCCAAGTTTCCTGGAAAAAATAGGATCCTGGCTGCTGGCAAAAATAAATAAAATTACTGGAAACAAAATAAAGCTGCCCTGATCCTTTGGCCCCCCGGTCCTCTGTCCCCTGGTCCAAACCAACCTCAATAAAACCCAAACCAACCGTCCTACATAAACATCCCTAAAACGAACTGAAAGAAGCACCCAAAAACATCCAAACAACTCCAACTAGGCCCTAAAATGACATCTAGAAACCTAAACCAAAACTAAATAAACATGAAAACAAAGTCAAACAAGCACCAAACCAACCATAAATCGGCAATATATAAGACAAACGGACACATAAAGAAGCACCAAAGTAACCATAAATGAAGATTAAAAACTTAAAGAGTGCAATCCAAATAAACCCTTGGCAAAGCCTAAATAAGCTATACAGTAATACCACCCATGCACAACATAACAAAAACTGAAATAGACTGCAAAACTACCCCTAAAGTCTAAACCAACATTCAATAAGAGAAAGACAGTTTGCCAACGGCTTGTTTCAAGGCGGCAAGTGCTTTTGGTCGACATGAGTGCATGCTACAGGAAAACGCACATGAAGACGTTATTGCCCCCCCAACCAAACAAGAGTCAAGACAAGAGAGAGGTCGACATGAGTGCGTGCAAGAGACGACGAAGTTTGGGCAAACCCCCTGTCTACCCAATATGTTGCAAATACCACGAAATATTGCAGATAATCCCAAGTGTAGTACAGATGCTGGCTCCCAGATGCTGCGAGCACGGTGCAAACAAGGGATTCAAGGCCAAAACGCTTTAAATACAATGCAAATTGCATATTTAAGTTCCAAAACCCTGCGCATATTCTACAAACAAGAGATTTCAGCTGCAAATAAATCTCAAAGATTCAAGGCCAAAACGCCTGAAATACCATGCAAATTGCATGTTTAGGTTCCAAAACCCTGCGAATATTGTACAAATAAGAGATTTCAGCTGCAAAAAAATGTCCGAAGCAGAGATTCTTAGGTTTGTTTTTTTGCAGAGTCTTACGTTTTTTTGTCCAGTGTAGAGAGTAGGGGTGAACCGTCCTTTTGTTTTCCAGTAGTCAAACAGTGTTTTTTTCCTGGTGTCTACCCTGATACTTCTCCCTTTGGTTGATGAATCAACTGATAGCCCCCCTTGAACCACCAATAGGTAGACGGCAGATGATAGTGTGTATATTTAATATTTGTGTATATATATATATATATATACATATGTATATATATATATATACATATATCATATATCATATACATATATCATATATCATATATCATATATCATATATCATATACATATACATATACATATACATATACATATACATATACATATACATATACATACACATACATACATACACATACATACATACATACATACATACATACATACATACATACATACATACGTTACGTACATATGTGGTATATGATGTGTTCCCGCAATCAAAGCTGGCACTTTTAAGCCCATGGTTGATGTATACATGTGTAGAAATCGGTTACCCTTAGAAATTCCAAGCCAGCCATGTTTGATTCCCAGCTGGGTTCGGCAAGAACTCTGCTTCCCTCGAAGTGATGATGGGTGTGTGATAGAAAAAACTTTGAAGAACATTGCCTCAAGCACACAGAAACATACACTATTTCTTATGTTTGATGTATGTGTATATGCATATATTATGTCACATACATGGCGGTTTCCATAAATGGGGGCACCCCCTTGGTTGGATGGTTTCTAATGGATAATCCCATCTATAAATGGATGATTTGGAGGTACCACCATTTCCGGAAAGCCCCATTAATTATGTATTTAACCTTGTATACGTGTGATGAATGACTGCTGCTTGGACTCCCAGTATCGCTCTGATCTTCCGTCGCTTCTGATGTGACGGAATTATTCATTTCTCGCTTAAGCGATGACGGATCTATTTCCACAGTTATGGCCATTTATTAGTTACAACTGGTTATAAATGGGCTTATACATTCTATAAATGGGGTTATAAGTACTTATAACTGGTAAAGGGTCTTAACTGCATGAAGAGCCCCCCCAAACAAAAGTAGAAATCCCTGACCCTCTGGGTAGTAAAACCTGGCAATGGTATATCTTCCATGGATACTTGATTTTCCGAGCTATGAACCTCCAGTTCGGGGATTTCACAGCTATCTTTGATTTTAAAGGTGACCTATTCATAGTGAGATTCAGAACAGCTCAGGACCGTGAAAGAAACTTTATCCTCAAGGCTGGGGAAAAAACTGCAGAAGGATGCAGCGTATGGATGGCAACAGTTTGATCTGTGGCTGTGGTGCCTGTTTTTATGCTGGATTTCAGCCCCAAATGCTGGCTGTTTCAATCGGGAAATTTTGGGAAAATGATGACAATCCTGGATTTGCAAGTGCCCAATTTTCTCAGACAAACCTGATGGAAAAAGCCCGGTTGTTCCAGGTCCGGTGTTTGGGTAAGGTCCGGCTTTGTTTGGAGAAGTGATGGGATTTCACCCCCGGTTTCTGGTCAGGTTCATGGAGGAAATCTGGCTTTAGACAGTTTTTTGGGTGGGTTTTGAGACCTTTCCATTTTTTCATTCAAAGGGGAAAACGATGGGATTTGGTTGTAGTCTGACGCATAAAAGAAGTTGGAGTTGTTTCTCTCTTGAAAATGCCAGATGTTTTTCTTCGGGAACATCTCTTTTGCAGTGATTTCAATCTGTTTTTCATGATTTGGGGAGTCACAATTTCCATGGTCCCCCCCCAACTGATTGTTCACTGCCATTAATGTCTACTGACGTATCGACCATTCCGTGGTGAGTGCGGAGAGAGGCGCTCCTCGGAATCGCTGAAGGATGATACAGAATGTTACCCAGAGGCGGGAAAATCTGTGAGAAAGGACAGATCTAAATCCTACTGTGGATGGTTGCGAAATCCTGCACCAGGCAGGGTAGCTATTGGGATTCCTATGGAACACTGTAAATTATGGGATACCGTGATAAACCATCTACCAACTGGTGCTGGATTTCTTTCATCCACAGTAGGTTTGGGGTTAACCATGGGTCCAGGATATTTTCTGCAGCCGATAAAAACTTGAATGAATAGATTCGATCTCGATCTCACTCACGTCGTGACGTCACCAAAATCATGATTAGTAGGGCTAACATGGGCGAACTATCTCTTAAAATAGCCTTAATTTGGAAAGTACCTCTACTTTTCCAGATCCTGGCCCAAGTTTTTCTTTAGTGGCTCATGAGCATCATGACATAACTACCTTCATCTACCTTCCAGAAGCTCATAAATTTTGGGGTGTCAATCCCCCAGACTTAGATGATCTTAGACATCCCAGTGGCTGGTTAAGAACCCATCTAATCCATGCTTCTAATTGGGGATATCCAATATATGATTTGGTTGGAGATATTTTTTTTTTTCTGAAAGTGATGCCATTTGCTCAAAGAACTCAGGGATTTATCCAGGTTGGTAATTTGTACATTCGATATGCAATTTGGATGGAGAAAATTTGCATAGAAGCCGGAGACTCGAAGTTGTTATTTGTTTTACCACATAAAGCAGATCATGGGCCCTTCAAAGTGGATCAATTGGTATGTATATAATATAATATAATTATATATGTATACATGTATGCATGCGACCGATCATATTCGCGTGCCAGTTGCTGTCTACTACGGACAGAGATAATGACTCGAGGTGTGGTTATTGCAGAGAATGCTATAGGTGACTTTCTGAACGGCAACTTTGCTTCACAACTCTCAGCCGACAAAGCCTGGCGATAATTTGAGTATTGACACATCCAGGTTGTAAGACAAGAAGATGATGATGTACACCGCTGCTGCTTCATGATCAATTGGTGAGACTGTAAATGATATGTGATAGTGCCATACTGTGCCCAGTTCGGTTGGTGGATGGGTACGCTAATTGAGAACCATACCCACATGTGCCATGGTCAAGTTACATAGTTTAAAATTGTTCCATCAGGTCGGAGATGCTCATCTCTCCCATACAATATATCCACGAATTCTTGGAATCCCTTCTTGGAACTGCAGTTCTACTTCGAAGTCGATATATAATGATATTATAATGATATATTATACATATATATATATAACCATAGTTATAGCGTCAATATATCCCGTCTTGTGGGGGAGTCCATAGCACCATTGTTTTTTGGCAGCCATAACCATTGACCAATGACCATCCAGGATGTCACGCACGATTTCCGCGAGGAGGATCTACCGAAGGCCGCACGGCACCTGGCATCTCTGACTATGTGCGTTATACTCATACCAAAGTAAATACCATATAATGCCATTAAAATCATTAAGTACCTATTTATGTTTCTTTATGTATATACGGTTATATACGTATATGTTACTATAAATATATATATATGTATAACACATCATATATAACATTTATGTATGCACATATTTTGTATGATGTTATATACATTGTTTATTTGTTGTTTTGACATGTTGATGATATTTTTTTATTTTGCAAATTTTACATATGTACCATATTTCATATTGTTACATTTCCAAATATATATATATATATAGATGCCTAAACTTTTACCTATACATGTATATGATGATATGTGCAGGGTGCTTTTATTGCATGATTCTTGCACATTATACATATGTATGATATTCCATTTTGCTACATTTACAAACTTATGTATATATATATGTGTATGTATCATATTCCATATTGCTACATTTACCAACTTATACATATATATATGCTTAAACATATATCTATATGTGCATATATATATATACCTGTATATGATTATATCTACAGGGTGCTTTGATTGCATGCTGCTTGGACTATTGTCTACCATGACAGGGCTGGGCTAAATGGTTTGGAGATTGACATCGATTCTGTATGCTTTAACCCGTATGAGCCGTTAGTGATAGCCCTGTTGATTGGCTATTACAGGGGGTTATATTACCCTGCCTTTGTTGAATTATTTTATTCCACAACAAGGATACTCTAGTACTGTACCTATTAATCAATCGAACCAGCTCAATGGGATGGAACAAGTTGTTATTCATGGCTCACAGAAAATACCCCACAACCCTTGGTTTAGTACTGGCCCTATTTATTTTTGGGGCACATATAGGGGCACTTTGCCATTGATGACTTGGTATTCTGCACAAGAAGCGGCTGCAAGGAGATCGGCCCCATCCTCAAAAATGAAGTTCTTCGAAGTAGGGAACAATCAAACCATCCACCCACATCTGTTCTTACGGCAACCCCAAAACCCCATGAATTCCCTCATTTTCCCTATTCAATGCGCAATTCTTGCACAGGCGAAGTCGACTTGGGACAGGTGCCGCAGCTTCTTGCAAAGTGACATCTATGACACTTGGACTTGGCGTGGCTAAGGAGTAGCCACTTTGACCCTGAGTCAATTATTGCGATGAAAGTGTCCGTAAGGTGGTGCCCCATACTTCGCTAAGTTCGTTTACATCTAGGTCAAGTATAGTTCATGGTAGCTATATCTCTATATATACTTATTGGATCTTATTGGGGTTTAGCCATCCACAATAGGGGTTTCGGAACCATCAAACACTGGAGATTCAACAAGCGAAGATTGTGATTGTGATGTTACTATGATTTATGGTTTCAACAACCTAGAATCATGGCATATAGTGATATCATTGAGAAATGATGGCGGGTGTATGATTCGAAAGGATTATACTACTTTGTTGACCATCAACAATGGGTTTCAACCATCAAATGTTGAGGTATAAATGGATAATATAACCCCGACATGATGCTTGATGATCAGTTGTTTGGGTTTTACTACCTGGTTGATTGGGGATGATGGATGACAGAGGGTATTGACCGCAGCACATTGATTTTAGATGTTCCCTTTCATGTTTTTTGCTTGCAAGTTGCAAGCATTGTGTTTTGTTGGGATTTGCCACACCTAAACGGTATCAACGATCCCGTCCAATACACACATGCATATTTATATATATATATGTATATATGTATATATGTATATATGTATAATATGTATAATATATATATATATTACAGTATATTATTTATGTATTTCATACACCGAGGAATCATATAATGCTTGATTCTTTGAGTAAAACCGTTGGTCTTCTTGAAACCAACACCCCAAAGTTTTAACATCGCTGCGCACTTCACGGAGCCTAGACTACTGGGGCCTGATCCCACATGTGAAATATCCACCGGTATTTACCGGTGAGGGGTGACATATTTACCCTCTGGTTATGACTAAGCCATGGTATAGATGGCCCTAGAAATAGATGATTTTCCTATAAATATCTCAATTTATAAGTGATTTTCCATGGCTATGTCAAATAACCAGATGGTACCTTTCCATTTTATGTCATCTTTACTGACCTGTTGAAGAATGTGATGTCCGACTGTCCCACAGTCTGGGTTTTCGGTGTAGCCGCAATAAAAAAAAACTGCCACAAAACGACAATTCGACCGGCAACCGGTGGAGGAATTGGTGATGGGCTTGTTGATTATTGTCAACTCCATCAGCATGTTCGTGGAGTTTGAATTTCAAGGCGGGATCGATGGCTGTCATTCGTCGTCCAGGGATGGCTGCTTCTCCCGTGAATTCATGAAGGTGATTCAAAGATCTTACCCTCTGGTAGTGAAATTCACAGTTTGCGGCATAGAAAATGACCATAGAAATAGTGGATTTACCCATTGAAAACGGTGATTTTCCATAGCTATGTAAACGTTTACCAGAGGGAACTAACCAACCAGTCTTTTGGGGATGCAATTAAGATAGTCAAATAGTATTATACAATTTTAGCCTTCCATGCTAGCATCAACAAAGAGGAAGTTCGGTTCCATTACCTGTGCTACTGGAAGAAGTTTCTGAATCGGTAACTTTGAATTGGCTTAGTCATTATTTAGTTCTGATTATATTATGTTGAATCACCAATCATTTTAAGTCTATGCCATGACTTGCCTTTGCATGAGGCGAGACAGATCAGCATTGAACTGCATCTCAAACGATTGTGATTGCGATGATCTTTTTGTGAGGGATATTCAGATTGAAGAGGAAATGGTTTTGGCAGAAGAGAAGATCCAGGAAGAGGGTGGGGAGCAGCAATGAGATTAGCTTTGACCTACATTTGATTAGCCTTAGCAGTGGTGATTGCCCACTGAGCGAACCTTGGGATTTGGGGAAAGGAATGCTGGCTGCTGATTCTGTTTGTGCGGAGATGACCCCGAAGTTTCAAATGGGTACGTGGTGCAAGCCTACTACTGAAAAGGAAACCGAATGAATTCGCAGTGAATTCCCATCCTGAATATTTTTAATTTTCCACCTGTACTTAAGCAAATCACCTTGTACAGGAGGGGGGCCACCAACCCCCATCCCCTGTCAGGTCCTGAGCGCTCAGGACCTTGTACCTCTTCACCCCAGCGTAGATTGGGGTAGGCCGTTTGACCTTGTAACCCCTAGTTGGATTTTTTTTTCATCTGTAGTTAAGATAGTCACCTCGAGGTGGTACAAGGTCCTGAGCGCTCAGGACCTCACACGGGAGGGGGGCTACGGACCCCCATATGCTGTGAGGTGATTTGCTTAAGTACAGTCTTACAAAAAATATTGGTCACATTATGATGTTCAGCAAATCATCTTGTATTGACCAGCTGATTTACCAAATCATTTGAACTAATTATGAATTGTTCATTCATAATTTCATAATATTAAATAACATGTATTAACACATTGATTGAGCAAATTATGATTGAACAATTCATAATTAAACTGGTTGCAATTCAGATTGATGGGCACCAGAAATGGGAACGGATTCTTGTAACAACAGTGACTGATAATTCCTGCTGCTGGGTGACCAGGTCTTCCTTATTACATCATACTCGGTTGATGGTTCCTCCCACATTGGGTCAAATGACTTGTCATCCTATCAAGATATGATACCATTCATTATGATCCATTATTATTGATGGATTGTTATAGTAAACAGTAATATCCCACGAATTGAAAAATTGTCATGGGTCATAGGCTTTTGGGTTTTGGGATTACATTGATAATGGATTATATGGATAATCGCTATAAATCATGTGATTATGGCCGATTTTTTTGGCTTCAAGATCACAACTTCAAAGAAACAAAAAGTACTATTTGACTATGCTAACACCACCCCAGGAAAAATATAGATATTTTCTTGGTGTCAAATATTTATTACTGTTCAACCATACATGAGGGATGGTTGGTTGAGATGATTTCGCATATTTTTGTGGATTGGTTTTTTAACCACCAAGCATTTCTGACTTTGCCCAGAAATGGGCCGATTTCTCGATTTCTCATTCGGGAACATGACTTCCCTTCAGACCTATTTTGGCTTGCTGTTGCCCCTAATATCAACGCAGGACTCATAAACCCCTATATAGTTTACTCATGGGGAATACCATTTATAAAGGAAAAATTGACACATCACAATTTTTGATGAGTCCCCCCATTTAGACTGGGTGCATCCGATCCGGGCCTGACATTCTTGGTTGGTTCATTTCCCGTTTTAGCAACCTTTGGGAGGGACCTCCCCTGGTAGCTTTTGGGCATTCAGGCTATGTTGTGGGACACAGTCTGGACTATCCTCGGATGCATAAACCACCCGAGCAGGTGGGGAGAGTTCCAATAAGCCTCAGCCTGTGGTGGTGAAGGGAGTGGATGCTATACTATCTACCCTCTGGTTAACTAACCTAACTATGGAAAATCACAATTTTTAATGGGTAAATCCACTATAAATGGTTATTTTCAATAGCTATGTTAGTTTACCAGGCCGGGTATGTCATGTTGAGATGTGACACACGTCACCCTGTGATTTAACATGAGTGACCATCCTCGAAAATTGACACCGAACCTGAGCGCACCACCAAGCATTTCTGACTTTGCCCAGAAATGGGCCGATTTCTCGATTTCTCATTCGGGAACATGACTTCCCTTCAGACCTATTTTGGCTTGCTGTTGCCCCTAATATCAACGCAGGACTCATAAACCCCTATATAGTTTACTCATGGGGAATACCATTTATAAAGGAAAAATTGACACATCACAATTTTTGATGAGTCCCCCCATTTAGACTGGGTGCATCCGATCCGGGCCTGACATTCTTGGTTGGTTCATTTCCCGTTTTAGCAACCTTTGGGAGGGACCTCCCCTGGTAGCTTTTGGGCATTCAGGCTATGTTGTGGGACACAGTCTGGACTATCCTCGGATGCATAAACCACCCGAGCAGGTGGGGAGAGTTCCAATAAGCCTCAGCCTGTGGTGGTGAAGGGAGTGGATGCTATACTATCTACCCTCTGGTTAACTAACCTAACTATGGAAAATCACAATTTTTAATGGGTAAATCCACTATAAATGGTTATTTTCAATAGCTATGTTAGTTTACCAGGCCGGGTATGTCATGTTGAGATGTGACACACGTCACCCTGTGATTTAACATGAGTGACCATCCTCGAAAATTGACACCGAACCTGAGCGGAGTTGGTTGCCCCTCATCGAGCAGCTGTGTCTATCTGAAGTTCTTGGGATTATATTGTGATGTTGTTGGATTCACAGGACGCCATGTAGAGGAGAAACACGCACAAGAATTCCTCGCTTGGAGAGTGCAACATGTCTCGCGCAGCTCTTTATTATCTTTATTCAGAGAATAACATGGGGGTGCAACTTGGACTATACATCCATATACATCCTATCTCAACAAGCGATGTCACCACCAGAATCATCAGATCACCTTCCTACCCTCCGGTACTCAGTTCGGTGGCGTGCGGGAAAATCCCCACGCTTAAGTTCGGTGCTTTTCCCGTTGAAACATCCATTTAGTTTGTGGATTTCCCAGCTTGCCATGTGACTGATGACCGGAAGTTAGTAAGCAATGCTGTAGTAAACCATCCCTACAATGTGAGGCCCCCCAGTTATAAGTTGGTTTATAAGCCCCAGTAACTATAGTTATAAGTACCATATACCATAGTTATTGGAGTTATAAACCAACTTAGCTATCTTGGGGGCCTCACATTGTAAGTTTACCATCAAAAAGCGGTATAAGCCATCAAAATATGGTTGGTTTATGGTGGTTGATGATTGTGTAAGGAAGGTAGTGAAATTCCCGAATTAGATGGTGGATTTTCAAGCAAGCCACGTTTACTGAAGGATATATCATGAGATATCCCCAAGTTGGTGAAATTCATGACTATCCATAGTATCCCATTAAATTTCATTACAGGAAAGTATAATCTAATAGTTCCATGATTGATTAAATATGATTAAATTCCATTACAATTATCATCCATTTAAATCAAATTTAAATCAATTAATCCAGAATATAGATAATACAGGATGGGGCCCGCAAGATAGCTAAGTTGCCTTATAAGTGGCTTAACTGTGGTTTATGGTAGATTTAACTATAGTTAATGGGGTTTATAATCGTTTATAAACCAACTTATAACTGGGGGGCCCATCATGTATAGTATATTACAATATATTATCTGGGCAAATTATAACGACCTCACTGTTCTCCCTCACTGGAATCATGGTTTTTATACGGGAATCATCCCCGACATGGCCCAACATTTCAGTGGGCCGGGGCAGCCCAATGAATTATGATAATTTGCCCAGATATTCTGGTCCCCCTATTTTCACAATAATATAATCACTGGTTGGTGGTTTGGAACATGAATTTTATGTTTCCATATATTGGGAATGTCATCATCCCAACTGACCTTCATATTTTTCAGAGGGGTAGGTATACCACCAACCAGAATCATATTAAACCCCATTATGAATAAAATAATCATCATGGATATATATCCCATTACCCAAATATTATACAATAATTATTCTCTAAGTCCCATTTAAATCCCATTATAATATATTCCCATTATAAATTCTATGGTCCCACGATATTCACCAGCATTTTTGCAAATCCCCGATGGTCGCAGGTGTGGCCCTCTGCCCAGCACGTCTTTGATACGATGAACCTGGCCTTCACCATCACCTTCCTGGTGCTTGAGCCGCATCCAAAAAACGCTGGAGCAGCAAGTTGTCTTAAAAAGTCAGGAGAAAATCATGGTTTTAAGATGTTTTGAGATGTTTCGAGATGTTTTGAGATGTTTTAAGACGTTTTGAGATGTTTTAAGCTGGTTGAACTCTGAGTTTAAGGCACTTTCCAAAACCCAATGCCTGGCTAAATGGGGATGTGCGAAGGAACGATCAGATATGGTGACCCAAAGCAACGGCTGACATACTGAAAAACAGTGGTGGTTGCTGGAAGTTTGGAAGTGTCCCTCTTGCAGTTGAGGTATCACACGCTATACAAATCTGGAAATTGCCATGCAAGAGGGAATGAATGAGTTTTGTGGCAGATAAACTGGTCTTCCAAACCGAGTACTGCATTTACAGCTGCCAGAATGCAAATAGCCATAGTCAGAAATTCCTGCCCACATATGTCATAGGTGTCCGAAAAGTATGTCTTTCCGAGTCTTGTTCAAACGACGGTCAAAATGATGGATAAATTTTGATATCTCTAAACGCTTCAAAGATCAAAGTCCAAGCAACATGTCACGCAGTTTTTCTATTTTTCCCTTGTGGACCACACCCTCCGGCAAACTAACAGTTTGCGAACTGGAAAATCGGAATTTTTTAATAGTTAAATCATGGTAGACCAACAATCAATAGCCATGTTCTATGTCGCTATGTTGAATTAGCTTCGGAAGGGTCATCCTCATACATCCCATCACATCCCATTAAGTCCCATAAATAATCCCAGTAAATCCCTATTCTGGTGGGTGGTTTCAAACATGACTGGACGATTTTCCATTTCATATATGGGATAATCCTTCCCATTGACTCATATTTTTCAAGATGATTCAAACCACCAACCAGCTAGTGTCATCTTTCAATGTACCCTATTTTCTTGGTCTCTCATTATAGGTGGACATCGTCCTGCGCATTGGATTCTTGAGATACCCGGCAGCGGCAAGGGCAAACAACCAGCATCCCGAAAATGGCGATTTCCAATCCATGGGGGTACCCCCAAGTCATCCCAAGTTAGACCATTGTAATATTGAAGCCTTGGGTGACTTGGGGATCTCCCATTCTGCGGAACCACCAAATAGATTCTGATTGGTACTGTATATATATATATAGATATACTATCTATTTCTCAGAATCAACCATGATCCCATTCTGATATGGACACAAAAATAACCCAACCAGATCCATATCACAAACCCATAAATATTGATATTGGAGATGATTACCAGTGCTATATATATATGCACGATCTGATCTATATATTACATACAATAGCTACAATCTACAAGGCCATAATATATGTAAAGCCAACCATAATTAAAGATTGGGATAGAATCGGATAGATAAATAATTGATATATAAACCTCAAATAGATTGAAACGTGATTTAGTTCTTTTTAGTGTGAGGTTACTTTTCTATCATTTTTGGAGCTTAGTAGATTAGTATCATTATTTTTCTATACCTAGATCCACACATGACCATAGACATGTGTATATCCTCCATGAGTTTTTCTGCGTCAACTGAGGATCCATGGGTCCAGACACCATGGATCCATGACAGCTAGCAACCGTTCCAACCGTTGACGAAAAAAGGACGACGATCCCAAAGCCAAAATCCTTCAGAATGTCAATCCCAATGTGTTTCCTTCTTTTAAACATATACTCAATGTGACATCAATGGGCCGACTGCATCAGTGTTTGTCAGTTTTGTAATATGGCGAATTATCAATGCCAAATTATTCCCGAGAGCGTCTGAGCGCAGGGTTCTTCCAATAGTGGGGGTCTGTAAAACATATTCTCATCTTCACATCTTCTCATCTTCACATCTTATCATCCTCACATCTTCTCATCTTCACACCTTCTCATCTTCACATCTTCTCATCTTCACATCTTCTCATCCTCACATCTTCTCATCTTCACATCTTCTCATCTTCACACCCTCACATCTTCACATCTTCTCATCTTCACATCTGCTCATCTTCACATCTTCTCATCCTCACATCTTCACATCTTCTCATCTTCACATCTTCACATTCTCTCTTGCCCTCTTGCTCTCTTGCCCTCTTGCTCTCTCCTTCTTTTCTATTTCTCTCTTGAAGGCGTGGGCAGCGCCAACGAGACGGCACGAAACGCAACCCTTTCCCACGAAATGAGGTTCGATAGCCAAAAACTGGTGTAAAATTGCAATTTCACGGGTCCGGTCTCTGTGCGTAAAAGTGTTTGTGTGTAAAAGCGTCTGTGTGTAAAAACGTTTGTGTGTAAAAGCGTCTGTGTGTAAAAGTTATTCTGTGTAAAAGCTTCTGTGTGTAAAAGCGTCTGTGTGTAAAAGCTTCTGTGTGTAACAGTCTCTGCGTGTGAATGTGTTTGTGTAAAAGCGTCTGTGTGTAAAAGTTTCTCTGTGTAAAAGCTTCTGTGTGTAAAAGCGTCGTAAAGGCTTCTGTGTGTAACAGTCTCTGCGTGTGAATGTGTTTGTGTAAAAGTGTCTGTGTGTAAAAGCGTCTGTGTGTAAAAGCGTCTTTGTGTAAAGTCTCCGGGTGTGAAGGTGTGTGTGTGTGTAAAAGTGTCTGTTTGTAAAAGCGTCTATGTGTAAAAGGGTCTGCATGTAAAAGCTTCCGTATGTAAAAGCCTCTGGGTGTAAAAGTGTCTGTGTGTAAAAGCGTGTGCGTGTAACAGTCTTTGCGTGTGAAAGTGTTTGTGTAAAAGTGTCTGTGTGTAAAAGCGTCTGTGTGTAAAAGTCTCTGGGTGTGAAGGTGCTTGTGTAAAAGCGTCTGTCTGTAAAAGCGTCTGTGTGTAAAAGCATCTGTGTGTAAAAGCGTCTATGTGTAAAAGGGTCTGCATGTAAAAGCTTCTGTGTGTAAAAACCTCTTTGTGTAAAACGTCTGTGTGTAAAGGCCTCTTTGTGTAAAACGTCTGTGTGTAAAAGCCTCTTTGTGTAACGTCTGTGTGTAAAAGCATCTGTGTGTAAAAGCGTCTGTGTGTAAAAGTGTCTGTGTGTAAAAGCCTCTCTGTGTGTGCAAGCTTCTGTGTGTAAAAACCTCTTTGTGTAAAACGTCTGTGTGTAAAAACGTCTATGTGTAGAAGTCTTTGTGTGCAAACGCGTCTGTTTGTAAAAAGTTCTTTGTGTGAAAAACTATACGAAATTTACGATGCAAACTATGGTCTTGTGTTTTTGTGATATATTGTCTTGATACTATTCTTCTCGTCTGCCTTTAATACATCTTTAATATATTGTCTTGTAATATAGTGTCTCCATACTAGCAACAGAAGACTCTGCTCCTCTACGCTCTCGGGCCATCCGTCGTCTAGTATATTTTATTTTTCTGACAGTTAATTACAATATAGAGACTCAATGAAATCTGAAAATATAGATATGTATCATATATGTTATCTATCATCCATGATGGTCGATTAGATATTTAGTATTAAGAGCGAATCACATACAACATCTTATTGTTTAGGTTCCTTTAGAGACCAACAGGCAGGCGAGTTTGAGAGCTGTAGTACGATACCACCTGGTTCGGTGATTCAGGCGTGGTAAATTGGATCCGAATAGGATTCTATGTGTTGCACGTACTTGCTATATCTGTTTCTCACCTGAATTCGGACAATCCTATTTTGTTGGAAGTGGCTTGGGGACAGCTAAGACTGCGATTGTACCTTAAAAAATGTGTTGGTTTCCCGGAGAAATGTGTATGTATATATATATATATACACATGTATTATGTTATATATATATATAGTATAATATACAAATATATATATATATATGTATGCAATATATATATAATAAACAGCTAGTGTATGTATGTATATATATAATAAACAGCTAGTTTATGTATGTATGTATATATATATGTATAGATGTACTTAGAAACCTACTAAGAGTGCAATAAAAAAACGTTACTTGTTGTTTTATGCCTCCCTCCAGAGCCAAGCTGCAGCCAGCATTTTCTGTCCATTTCCATTTGAGGATCGCAATTCTTTCGCCTGTCCTTCAACTGGTTGGATTTCCTGGTGGTCTTATGCAGCTACTTCGTCTGCATTCCGACATCCAAATAGGGTACCCCTACTGCAAATCCAATGATTATTCATCATTATTTGGAGGTTTCCTGAAATGGGGGGTACCCCCAAATCACTTATTTTAGATTGGGATTCTCCACTATGAACCATCCATTTTGGGGTACCCCGATTTATGGAAACACTCATCATCTGATTAAAATCATTTTAATGGCCATAAATGGGGTTGAACCTCCCTGATTTTGAGAAACCAATATCAAGCGTTGAAACAAACTGAGCTGCGCAGGTGTGGTTGAAATCCTGTTTGAAGAACTCCTCCCGCTGGCACCTTGGAAGATAAACTTAGATAAATTATGAGTTTGGAATGTTCCGCAGCTTGATTTCAGTAGAAACATGTTACGATTTGAACCAAGTTGGATGGATCATTTTGCGTTTTTTTGGGTGGTTGAGCCATTTTGGGGTCTCCGGATTTGGCTTGGATTTAGTGTGGTGAACGTTGCTGTATGTGGTTTCCACTTTATCAATATGTGGCTGTTATGTGTCTGTGTCCCAAAACATGTTCATCTGGTAATTTCCAACCTGCTGTTCGTCAAATACCGTGCGGGTCTCTCATGTCAGATGGTGAAATGATATATGTCACACACAAGAACACAATCTAAAGATAGAGAAATTATATATGTCACACACAATAACACAATCTAAACATCTACCCTCTGGTAAATTAACATAGCTATGGAAAATCACCATTGTTTATGGGAAAATCCACTATAAATGGTCATTTTCAATAGCTATGTTAAATTACCAGAGGGTAAACATATCTTACGTCTCTACAAGTGAAACCTCAATGAAGCTCATGTTTGATCGCCGATCCTCCAGCTCAGCCTGGGCTCCACATTGTAGTTTTTATGGAGATACTTCGAATGGACTTCACCCTCCAAACCATACTACGGTCATGCTTCCTTGGAAGAAACTTGGGTTCATGCGGTATGATATTATTATATATAATTATATATTTAATTATATATATTATAATTAAATATATAATTATGTATATATATATATAATTATGTATATATAATTATATATATAATTTTGTGTATATATATAGAATTATGTATATATATATAATTATATGTAACGTGGCAAACCCAATGGTAAACTATCCCATTCACCATGACTGAGAGTGATTTTGCATCATCCCTATTGGGTTTATGATAGAACTATAAGTTCCCAAAAAGGATCCCTATGGCAGGCACCTTTCTTGTGAATTCCTACTAGCTGGGCTTTATAAACCAAAAAACAGAACGCTTGGGGGCCCCACATTGTACTAGCTGTTGGGACTTAACTTAATCATAGATAACCATAGATAACTATCCAGCATCATCCAGCATCGCCTTGCCCCGCGTTTGAAGGACACGGTCTTCATTCGTCTCTTACGTTTGGGCAAAGTGGCACGAGCCATCCGGGTGGTGCGGCAAACCGAGGCCGGGGACCATGGGAAATTCATCCGATTTCGGTGGGTAAAACAATGCCATGTTTACCACCCCATATGGATTTATGTTTTTTGCCACCCATAAAAATGGTGATGTTGGGGAGGGCGTCCTATTGCTTGAACCACATCAATTTGGTAATGCTTCAAAATGAAGGCGAGGTAGTGTGATATGTGATGTAATCATGGAATGGTATGGAAAGTAGTTTGACATTACGTTGTAGTAGGTTATGCCTTATCTTATGTTATCGTGCTATGTCATTTTATATGCTATGTTTTAGTGTGCATTAATATAATGTATATATACATGCACCCAAACGCCCCTTGTGCAATGGCTTATGTGGGTGATTTACTTTGAGGGCACCAAAACAAGAATCATGGGGGTTCCAGATAGATTCAAGAAACGCTGGGCAGGGCATGTCCTCCCTGATCATGCTGCTGAAATGCGTGCAAGACACTTGGCAGAGAGCGGGGACTCTTTGTGTCCTGCAAGAGTCCCTACTTTCTTGTGACCCCTTGCGATGGCATGTTTTTTTTCAAATATCCAACGTTATATATCCAGCAATAAAGCGCCTCAATGGAATAGTGCGCATGCTCCTCTGGTCCCTGGTGGTGAAAAATCCGACATGTTTATGCAGTGTTTTTCTTTTTAAGTTTCCATCATTCTAGAGCGGAAAGATGGTCCCCGCTGATTTTCATGTTATTGGGATGGGTTGAAGCCCCCAACACATCGCAGAATTGGTTGAGGAAATGATATCGTATATTTTTCAGATATAAAATACAAACCAAAAAAAACATATCAAGCTCTGTTGTTTCCTTTTTTCAACCTCCCTTGGAAAATCTATTGAACCAGTGTCTGGCCCGGGCCCACTGAGGCGAGCTTCAACACCCTTTGCTGGTCCTTGAGTTTCATTGTGGTGCTGCAGTGCATTGCCGGAATGGTTCGGGGACTCAGCGATGCTCAGCGGGAGCAAAATGTTGGCGAACAGTTCTCTATCTCGGGCTTTGGATACTGTTGGATATATCCTTAGGGTCAATTTAGTCTATTTGCACTGAATAGAAAGTAAAGATTCAAATGGTAGGTTTGGGGTAAAAAATGTGTCCAGAAAACTCATAAGGCTGACAATCCACACTCGCACCTTGCCTTAGATTCAAGGTTTGCAAATTGTTTGTTTTGTGTCTGGATGTTCTCCATTGTCGCTGACCAGCAGTGACTGCAGCACTGGGGGTTGCAAAAACACCAGTGTCACAAGGTCAAAGTTGTTCAGAGTTTCAGTGTGCATGGCTCATGTTTTTCAGTCTGTTAGTTCAAGATTTTAACTGGTTGGTGGTTTCAAACATTTTTTATTTTCCATAATATATGGGATATTCCTTCCCATTAAAAATGGTTGGTTAAACCACCAACCAGTTAAGACTTAGAACCTGTGTTTCCTCTTGGTTTTTCACAGTTCATCCAGAATTCAGTGGAAGAATCGCTGGTGAGCAAAGTTTTACCATCCATGGCGACCATCCCCAGGAAATCTTGAGGTGAATCGAATTCTGAAGATTTCTTCAACGTCTTTGGGATGTTTATTCAAAGGTGACCCAAAAAATTGATGGCTGAGGTGATTAGCCAAGTGGTTTCTCAGTACATGACAGATGATACGATCAGCCCTGAAGCGAGACGAGCTGTTTTCAGGCGCCCAGTTTCGACAAATCCTGGATCCCCCAGACACCAAGACAGCATCGGGATCCAACGGGAAAATATTTCTGGATTTATCTCTGGGTAAATTTCATCACGACCGAACCCTGTTCTCCCGAACCCTGGGAATCATGGTTTTTATATTGGAAATCATCCCCTTTTATGGCCGCCAGATTCAGGTTAGTGAAATATTATAATTTACCCAGATATATGGGATAATCATGGGGTTTTTCATTCAATGAATGATGGGATATGGGATGATCATCGAAACCCATGGAAGTCACCATGGTGGTTTCAATCCGACTTAGTCGTCTTGCATTTCTTGGATGATTTGGGATACCCCCATTCTAGGAAAGCAACATTTGGGTTGTCCCAATCTTCAAATGTGACTAAAGGCACTGACTGCTCAAATCTGATAATGCTGTATAGATTGGTACGGTTTATGATGGACCAAAAAGATATTGCCATCCCGAGATATGTTGCTTGTGGTTGGAAGGAACTGTCAAAAAGTGGCAAGAACATGTCCCGCGTTTGAGAATCCCCGGTGGTGTTTGCAGCCCGTACATGTGTGCAATTGCAGTATTGTGTGCGTGTGCGCGTATGTGGGTGTATAGATTATACATAATATATATATATATATATATATCTACACATATGGAGAGGGAGAGAGCGAGATAATGACATTATATGTGTATATATACATATATATATACCATTATATACCTAGACCCTCAAAATACCACACACAAATGGTAAAAGTACGAAAATTATGAAGTAAAACAACGTTTTTATGGGTACTTGGAGGGTCTAGGTATACATATTGTCATCCTTCTTCCTGGATTGTGTCCATGTTGCCAAGTGAGTGGCTGAGAGCAATGGTAGTAATCCAGCTATCTCCCCTTAAGCCTTACACAGACGGACATTCCCAGTTTTTATGAACTTAGACAAATGCGTGAATTTCACTCTCAATCGAAAAAACATCATCCATCAAATACTTAGACCTAGATGGCACTCCTGTCCCTCGAAAGAGGTCAGCTGTATTTTTATGAACATTGCTCACAGACACCGTGGACAATCATAAAGAAATCATGAACCGGATTCCTGATTGCACCCGTACATGTAACAGGCTCAAATTGTTCTGGAACAAAGCACGGACATCAATCAAATGGAAACTCCAAGTGTTCCACTCCATTCTCAGAAGTAGTTTGCTATGTGGATTAAGAAAGTGTATGAATCTAACGGATCAAAAGAACATAGATGGTTTCCAGATGAATGGATACCGAAGGATTCTGCAATCATCCCCCTACATACATCGACCGAAGAATGACAAATGACCGTGTCAAGTACTAAATTAGAAACCACCTGAACACAGACATAAGAATGTGTTCTTCCATGTAGTTACAACGTACCCTCTGGTAATTTAACATAGCTATGGAAAATGACCGTTTATAGTGGATTTTCCCATAAAAAATCGTGATTTTCCATAGCTATGTTAGTTTACCAGAGGGTACAACGTAAGATTTCACTTCCTTAAATTAGATCTGAACCTAACGACCCTATGAGACAAGTTCTGTTTGACAAGGGAACCTGAATACCCAGGCTCGAATTTTGTAAACATCCCAGGTTCGAATACAATGGTTGTCAGCAACATACGCGGATGTCTATCAAACCCTCAATCAACTACACCCATTTGACATGGACAACCCTGCGCATAGACAACTAGTCAACGACCTAGCTCTCGGGAGAATGAGAGTCTTTCATGATTCATCACCGAAAATCGTCACCGCAAATCGTCACCGGAAAGCAGAGGCCTTTCTCCAATATGCTCCATCGTAATTGGATTTATCAGTTATTTTCTCTTTTATATTCAAATTCCAATCATGCCTTCTTTGCTCTAGGCTTTGAAAATGTGCTGCAAGGTAAAGATAGTGTTCACATGTTTTCACCCTTGGCATGTTTCGCTGGATTCTGCGCTCAGCCGATTGGGCCTGCGCTTGTGCAAAAGATCTGACTATAGAAGGATTTATTCCAGGGTTATATATATATAATGATCGTGAAATAGTTGCTTTTGTTTGTTACATAATCCCAACCAAAATGGGAATATCTTTGAACACCCCATATTCATCCATATTCTAGCTAATGTAGGACATATATATATAGTATAGAAGAAGAAGAAGAAGAAGAATGCATGCTTAACAAGATGAGGCTTCTATAAACAAGTGCCTGTGTGGAGCAAGTTCTTGGCTTCTTTGGGGTCCGAAATATTTGTCGCTGCGTTCCTCTCTTTGCAAGCTTTTCTCCGGTCTCAGATTTGGTTCACCCTGGAATTGTCCGTGAACCTCGTGCAGTATTTCCATAAAAATCATCCTCTGTCCCTTGTCTTGCTGGGGTTCCATGTTACTTTCCGCTGCCAGGTACTATGGAACCTTTACGTCAACTTTTCTCACCATGTTTGAGGCTGGCTCGGTCACATTTTGTGCCAACAGAATGATGGAAACGCCACTTCTTGTACCATGCAGTATCATGCAGTGATCTAACAATATCTAACATGGCAACGGAAATTTTGGATGTTCCACTCTTTTCAAAGATGTTCAACTAATAACTAATAACTAAGGTAATTTCAATTAAATTTATGCAGTTTAATAGGTAATACATGGTAAACACAGCTTTGGAATGCAGTGGCTAATTCGAGGATCGATCCCCAGGGTTGCTGCAGATCCGCCATGATATCTACCATTCCGTGACCCGAAAGAATCAGTCATCGTGGATTGGTTACTCTCCCCGTGCTGATATCTTATTGAGTATATCATTGGGTTGAAGGGACATATATATATATTATTTATAATTATATATTCATTATTTAATTGTATATTGTACCAAAAAGCCTTACATTTGGTCGATCAATGGACTTCGTTTAAATTTTCTTCATATCTTCGATTGTTTGCTCCATATCGTCCCATGAAACGCAGTGGAAACTCCCCCTGGCTGCCATGGTTTCCAGGTGCTACTCGCCAATTGGGCTCCAGCTGCCAGAATTTTGGACGCTCAGCCGGACTCAGCCGAGCATTTTTTGTTGGAGTCAGCTGTATGGCCAGTCTTCAAAACTATGATCATTCAAACTACCCTCTGGTAAACTAACAGTTTGCTATTGAAAATTGCCATTTATAGTTGATTTACCCATTAAAAATGGTGATTTTCCATAGTTATTCGTATGTTTACCAGAGGGTGCTTGTTTTTTTGGGGGATGGTTAAACCATGCAATTTTATGAGCATCTAAGTAGAGAAAATTCGGTGATAAAATTGGGGATATGTTCATGGCTGTTTTCAAGGGATCATGAACCACAAAAAAAACGACGAAACATGAGTGATGAAGCGACAAACATGGGTTTATGTCATGGGGATATATCTAGATATATCCCATATGAACCGCTTTCCGAAAATTGACAAGCTTATTATTCAACGGGGTGGCTCAATCACCAACGATGCCTTGGCCCTGAGACTTCTCGGGGCTTCACTATTTGGCTGATGAAAATTCATGATCGGCGGTCCTGAAGCCTTCATTTTTCTGGGATAAAAAAGTTCTAATTGAATCTAATTAATTGAGCAAAAATTGATTCAGACATCATCAACCATTGCCATTTTTAGTACATCAACCTTCATATTGCGGGGTTATTTTTTCTGGCCATAGCCTGCCATCGATTTCCTCCCTCTCGAACAGAAATTATATTCATAATATGGTGATCTCAGCTGCCCACCCACGGAACATGTCCACAGGTGGACAATGTCAGTGACATCTGGGTCTATGTCTTCGTGGTCTATCGTTGTGTGGTGCCTATGGCTGCATTTCTTGATGTGCCAAAAATATCCAAAAATACCATCCTGGCAAAAACGACACAGTGAAATGATGTGAAGATGTGAAGATGTGAAATGAATGCTGCTGGCTCAGATGCTCCATGTATGAACCAAGATGAATCAATTATACACAAACGAGTTTGAAGAACAGACTCATGTGGGATCATTATGTATCTTAATGAACTTGTGGGATACCAAATGAGTTTAATCATTATACACATATGTATCTTTTTGCAAAACAGACTAACAAATAAAATCAGATCTCTATTGTTTCATTCGGACACCTACATGCTGGGTCGTTTTGAAGGTACATATTAAGGCCCTCCAACTCAGCAATCCCTACGATGACTAACGTGATTAATGACAAGCACATTCCGAAGGGTTGGAATCAAGTGTCCAATCCTCGATTCGAAATCCCGGTGAAACTCTGGCTGAATCTTGCCATGATTTTTTACGGTCAAACACCGTTTTTGAACCAATGCTACTGGATTAGTTTGAATGCTCAACTGACCCCAAAGGAGGTCCAAGAGCAGGCAAACAGTGCTTTGATATGCCTTCATTTTGTTCAAACACAGGTCAAACATGGTCAAACATAGGTTGAAATAGGAGTTATTGCCGTTGTTGCCATCCATATCCATACGGTCCATATGTATGAATTGTATGAACATGTATGAACATACCAGCAGATTAGATATCCATACATGTTACACATCCTGTTCAAGTTCTTGTTTTCCCCTTGATTTTCGTTCGCGCTCCCTTCTGCGTTTGAAACCAAGGTGGGGTTCGCCATTCTGAACGTGGCCTCTTGGCCTCACTCTCTCCATCAGACATTGTTTTCAGGGTCCATATGGAGGTTTCCTAAAATAGGGGTACCCCCAAATCATCATTTTTAGATTGGGATTTTACATTAAAAAAAAAAACATCCAGTTTGGGTAGCCCCATTTATGGAAGCCTCCAAATGTCTATATGATTCTATATGTTGGTTTTCTGCAGGGTAAGTCTCAACGAAATGCTGAAGATGCGTAGGAACTGAAGATCGAAGTCCAACCGGTTCAGGGTTGAACATGGACCCAGAATGGGGAAATCTGGCTCAGCCTTTTCCATCAGCCATTGGCTCAGACCAGGTGAGGCAAAGTAGACTCGCCCCACATGAGTCAGCGTTTGCGCCATACCATGGCTGCAACACACGCACCCAAGGAGCCTTGGCAGGTCTGTCATCCCAATGTGACTTGAAATGTGATGTATGTTTGCATGGAAACCCTGAAAACAGGCGATGTTCAATTGTAACATGATTTTCGCATGTTTGACATTGCCATTTTTAAGTGCCAATATTATATATATAAAAGAAAAAGCAAGAAGTAAAGTTAAACTGTATAGATTTGTGATGAATGTAGAACCAGCATCACAATCCGCTAACATCGTCACGGGTGAAAGCAGTTTGTTTTTGTAAAGCCCGTAGGCTGTGTGTTACCTGGGTATCGCATCAATCCCCAAAGTTTGAGTAGAAACGCATATCGGTTCCTATAGAATTTTGGTTCCAACCCACAATTTGGAAATTCTAAGCAAAGTTGTTTAAGCAGAGTTGGAACCAAATTTGGATTATCGTTGTTCATCTTGGTTCAGAAATCATTTCTAGTGAACTATGTTTTGATTCTTATCATTATAACTTTAGTTATTAGTTATTGGGATTATAAAGCAACTTGTAACTGGGGGCCACCATATTTTTTTCAACGTCACTTCCCTACCTTGTAAGCCTCTCAGGAACAGATCTTGGGCCGCTCGGGTGACCATTTGGACATTGAGATGAGGCCGCGACGCAGCGGCAACCGAGTGCTTCCTGCACGGGAGGAGAAGTTGAGAAAACGATCTCTCAAGGAACAGCTGTGGCATGGTTGGCATGGTTGTGTTTTTGTTGTGTTTTTGTTGTGTTCATCAATGTCAACCCTGGATTCAGATAAAAACATTTTTGAGGCTGTTGGTGAAGACCATTTGGTAGCGAATAGTAGTCATCTCTTTTTGATAAGCCAGCCTTAGTTAGTCAGGGTCCAGGGTCTTTTTTTATCCGAGGTTGACAAGGTGTCATTCTTGGTTTCGGTGATCCCCCCAGACTCGTCCACATGTTCCCATGGTGCTGATCTGTCGAGGGATTGATGTTCCCATCATTTTCCGAGCCAGTTTTCCCATTCTCCAGTGAGGTTGATTTGGCTTCAGGGTGAAGAACTCTTTCAACGAAGTTCCCCTTTGGAGCAGAGTATCACCTACTCCATCTTCAGTATCTCGGGATGGCTAATCCATGTTAATCCGCTCATCAGCCTATTGAAGGGCCTTTCCTAAACTGAGACGGGGAAAATCATCCACGCTCTTTGTGTTGATGTAATAAGGAGATTTTGGAAACAATGTGGTAATTAAAGAGACCCTCATGGAAGTGACCTTACCCAGAGCTACATGAGAGAGTTTACAAGAAGGTGGATGAACCGGAAATGTACATTTGATACCTGTCGCAGGGTTCAGGGTCCTGACCGTGAGAATTCAGACTCGAGATCTCCTTTCTTGATCTTTTGCTCCTTCCCTGCAATTCAGTCAGTCCTGTCATTGAATATCATTATCCCTGGCCATCCCCACAAGGATCCACAAGGCGATCGTATAATAGTATACGCCCTGGCCATCCGGGAATGCACATGATCCCGGGAATGCACATGATCAATCCCCATCATGTTCTAATTTGATATGAGCTTAGTCTAATTTAATATCACAGATATGGGAAATTGGCGGACCTTCGTTACTTCCCCAGCTTGCTGTTAGGTATTCTTTGTCTATGCGTGTGCTTCACGGTGTTGCAGAGCTTCCTGTTTGGCAGCTGGGCAAGAAATAGGTTCCCAGAATTACATAGAATTCCTGGATCCATTTTTGTCCCTTGTTTTTGAACCATGACGATCCAACAATGAACGGACAGAAGAGTCTTTTAAAGAAGGGAAATATGAGTGGCTACGATTGCGTGTCGAAGTAGTGAAGGCCTTTTTGGTGGTATGATGTGAAAATACATTGAGACTATGAGACAATTTCGGACAAAGACACACGGTGAAAAACAACGAAAGACACGGTTGGCAACTTGAATTGAAAGACTGCCAGAATGTTTCTAGGCAAACATCAATAAAAAGAAGTGCGTCGGACAGCGTCACAACCTGGACAGTTTTTTCCCCTGGAAACGATCACCAACCTGGAGCCTGTTGACAAGATCCGTGGTTAGTAATCTGTTGTGGTGTCACCCCTCACAACTGACGATTTTCACGGGTATGATCCTACGGGTTACTATACCCAGTTGTCAACCACAATCCTATCTTCCACTGGTATGATCCTGGAAGTAAATGTGAAGTAGATGAGGTAGCCAATGATCTCCCTATCTCCTGATAAAAAAGACATGATTTGTGGGGGTGACATCAGCCAGTTTCTATAGCAATTTACCCTCTGGTTATTTAACATAGACCCTGAAAACATCTGAATTCAGACAAGTTTGCCAGTACCAGAAACTACCCTCTGGTGAACTAACATAGCAATGGAAAGATCCACCATTTTTAATGGGAAAATCCACTATAAATGGTCATTTGCAATAGCTATTTTGACATAACCAGAAACTAATCTTCCAACCCCCAACTTATGGCAGGGTCAAGTTGTGTTACCGAGGTAACGCCTGCGAAGCTTCACCGGCTGATGGCCCTGGCGTTACCGATGGAAGCCGACCCTACCTGCGGGGAGGCGACATAGCGGTGTGACCGGGAAAAAAGAGGCGTCCATGCAGTGTGCCACATGCTGTTCCCTCTGGTAAACTAACATAACCATAGAAAAATCACAATGTTTAATGGGTAAATCAATGTAAATCAACTATTTCTATGGCCATGTTCAATAGCAACCTGTTGAATTACCAGAGGGAAACTAAATAGCCTCTGGTAGTTTGAGGTATGGAAAAACGCCATTTTTGACAGACAATATCATCATAAATCATAGGTGTGGAATATCATAATATCATCAAACACCATAATCACAATATTATAAAACACCATTACCATAATATCATAAAACACCATAATCATAACATCATCATAAATCATAGGTTTGGAATATCATAATATCATATAAAACAATAATCATAACATCATAAAACACCATAATCATAGTATCATAAAACACCTTAATCATAGTGTCATAAAACATCATAATCATAATATCATAAAACACCTTAATCATAGTGTCATAAAACACCATTATCATAATATCTTTATAAATCATCTTAAATCATCTATCGTATTCTGGGCCATGGTTTCAGCGAAATCACCAGGCTGGAATTGGTTGCCATGCCAGGAATCCGGAGGATCATCCAGGCAACCAAGAAGTCCCATGATGTTTGTCGCATTTATTTATAATTTCAAAATTTCAATCACACTATATCTAAATAATATTTATATATATATACATATATTATATATATATATTTATTTATTTATGTATTTAGATTTGGGTTACACTTGATGTTACCCACTTAACAGTTCCGGTAAAAGCGGATCGCTGATATGGGGTCAAGTTCTATGGTCCTATAAAGGTCCACTGGTGACAGGATATCGCAAGCATTGTGCTTTTTGGCCAGATATATATATATATGGTTTTGGCCGAGAAAAACTTCTCTTTTTTCGGCATTCAAAGCTGTTTTGTTTAATCGGTGGCAGGTCAGAATGATGATGGAATACGTGTGGGGTCGGGCAATGGCTGGCTTTAACGGCGAGTCTCCTGAGGAGTTGTCCCTTAATCGTTTGTCAGTAGAGTCCCAATCGTTTTGAAGATATCCCCCATTCTTGTCGGTCGAGTCCACTTTTTGCAATGTTTGTTAAGGACTATATATATATGTATATATGAACATATAGTAAAGTCATATTTTTGTTGACCAGGTTCCATTCTTGGTTGAGTATTTGTCCGTTTTTGTTGGTTAAATTACCAAGCTTGTTGGGAATGTGATAAGCGACCCCGAAAACTGTTTCCAAAAGATGCATTGGACTCTCGGTATGGTTGTGGACGAGATGCTAGCCTTAAGTTTCTGGGTGAACAAAGCTCTTTGGGTTTCCAGATACGGCAGTGCTAGGTCCTTTTGACATCTTTTTTGTTGACCACGTAGGTGCGACTCGACTTGCTTAGGTACTGTCTTACAGTAGGACTGGGTAACTAAGCAGTGCTTCCGCTGTTTCTTTGGGCTGGCTGGGTGGAGCGCTGCCTTCTGACTTGCGCCGTTTCGGCGCCGCGCATTGCACATGCAAAAGTTCTCACTCTGTCTGTGTATTGTTCTTTCTTTTTGTTCTTTTCTTTTATTTTTTAATTCTTCCTTTTACTCTTGGTTTATTTTCCCCACCTGTCAGGTGAGGGTTTTGGATTTTATGTCAGCTGGCCTCCTCCTCCTTCTCCTCCTTCTCCGCCGGACCTCAACTGCAAGCTCGTGATCGCAGTGGTCCCTGCTGGACCCGAACAGCAAGCCCAAGATCAGAGTGTTCCCCGCCGGACCTCAACTGCAAGGGCGAGATCCCAGTGGTCCCTGCCGGACCCAAACAGCAAGCCCAAGATCAGAGCGTTCTGCTGCAGAAAGCATAGGGCTTACAAATTGAGCTTCAACAAAGCATCTTTCTGTTGGAGGAATCTTGAATTCTCTCTGATATTGTCTTCAGTCGGGGAAGTGGACAAGAAGGGGACGAGAGAGAAGTGGAGGGAAGGGGACAAGTTCCGTGCTCTTGTCCACATTGCTCTTAGGAGTGTTTGGGGTTTATAGACAACTGTACAAACCCTCAGCTACAAGTCCCATTGCAAGACTCACAGCATTGTGTTATCTGAAGCACAGTCTTTTGCGAGACAGATGCCCAGCTAACTCTAAAATTCATTTCATTCCACCTGGCGCCGGTTGTTGGCTCATATTTGATCAGTCAAACCGAATCATGTAAATGCCAGATAGATTGTCAGAATAGATGTCAAATAGAAAGCCCGAATGCCAGAATAGAATGCCAGAAGGAATGGCAGATAGAATGCCAAAATAAATGTCGGATAGAGTGTTAGGTAAAATGTCAGAATACATGTCCAAATATATGTCTTGAAATGCCATGGTGGAGATCACTCGAAGTAAAGTAATATTAAAGGGCTACGCCCTCTGCCGCCGACCCCTGGACACTGGAGGGTCATGCCTGCCTCTGCGTCGTAAGCATATTGGGCAGAAACTCCAATTAAGCCTCTGTACTGAGGCGATCTGAAGCGTGAATGCAAGTTTGGACGAACACAAAGCTGTTGCAACGGCGCCATGTTGTGGACTTTTGCTTATGGGAGTGCCTCTTAAAAGGATATGAACTCATATCAAAGCATCAATGAAAAGACCAAACTGATTCAATGCATTATGCGACATGACATTCAAGATCACATTTTATCAAAGCATCAATGAAAAGACGAAACTGATTCAATGCATTAGTCGACATTACATGCAACAGCACATTTTATCATCTCATATATATTGGGCATCTTGGCAGCTGAAAGAGTGCATCAACACATATCAATGACTTCTTCTAGCTTCCAAGCCCGTAGAGAGATAGAGAGAGGGTCATGGCGGCCTCTTTCTGTGAAAAATCTCAGCGCAAGGGCAAACCATCAAAGAAGGCGTGCTGACCGATCTTTGTATCGGCCCAATGGGCAACCCATTCACGGTTTACGTCGCAATCACCAGCGTCCAAGGCCGTGAGAAGCAGCTCATCTTCCACCCCTTCGACGCCGCGCCATTCCAAAAGGGAATCGGTCTGGGCCGGGACCTTCTTCTGCGACACCTCCGCGGCGACGCCATCGACTGGCAGGCGTTGCTCGCAACGTGTGCAAGCTGTGGCATGTCGAAAACAATTTTCCAGAGAAACATCGGCAACGGCAATGTAGTTTTTTCCGTGTGTGTTTGACATGCGAAGTCAAGAAACCATGTTTCAAATGTGGGGTTCCCAAGCCAGAGAAAGACTATGGCCCTGCCACCTGGAAAGCTCGCAATGCTGACCGACGCTGTTGCCGCGACTGTGTCCTGAAGCTGCGGGGGTATTGGTCCTGCGCCGAATGCTCAGAGCGAAAACCACATGCAGAGTTTAGTGCTTGGCAAGAAAGCCGCGATTACATTCAAAGCACGCAACTTTGCAACACGTGCATCAGCTTGGCCTTGGTGTGTCAAATTGCGCGTCGCGCGAACCAACGGTTGACACCGCTACGGCGGCGCGAGCAAAGTCGACGGCAACAGGCCATCATAGACGAAGTGCGTCAAGAAATTTTGGCAAGGACCAAGCAGAAAACCACGATTGCACCCACCCCAGAAATGCAAAGCTGCAAAGAGCGACTGCCAGATTGCGCAACGGGTTCCTTGAGTCCTGAGGCTGCCACTGCAGACGCCGCCAGCCAGGACGAACCGTGCCCGCCAGAGCCGGCTGCGACAACGAAGACCGGCAAACAGATGCGCGGGTACCAATGTCCATTCTGCCAGCAACATGTGAACAGCACTATCGAAACTGGGCAAATTGATCATCGGTATGCGTGCGGGAATAAGTTCCGTGTCGCTGGCGGCAATGTCACCGGCCGCATTCACAAGCACGCATGCCCAACCTGCCTGCCGCCGGGAAAGGTGGACCGTCACGGCACCGCTGCACCAATAACACTGCTAACCCCCAACTGACGTGTGACGTCTTGCAGCTGGCTTTCGTCTTGCACAGCTCCGGTCCAAGGACCCTCGCGCAGGGCCAAAACACCAAAACACCATGGCAATGAAGGACGGATCGGGCCCGCGGCCCGTAGCCCAGAAGGCCAAACCTCACTTTCTGAACCGACTAGAAACTAGCTCCAAGCCTTGCCTTTGCCTGCCAACTTTCATCCTGCACAGCTCCGGGCCAAGGACCCCCTCGCAGGGCCAAAACACCATGGCAGTGAAGGACGGATCGGGCCCGCGGCCGGCAGCCCATAGTGCCAAACGTTGCTTTCTGAACTGGCTAGAAACTAGCTTCAAACCTTGCTTTTTCCTGCCGTGACTCTGCTTGCTAACTTTCATCCTGCACAGCTCCGGGCCAAGGACCCCCCCCGCAGGGCTAAAACACAGCCTTGACTCTGCCTGCCAACTTTCATCCTGCACAGCTCCGGGCAAAGGACCCCCTCGCAGGGCCAAAACACCATGGCAGTGACGGACGGATCGGGCCCGCAGCCGGCAGCCCATAGTGCCAAACGTTGCTTTCTGAACTGCCTAGAAACTAGCTTCAAACCTTGCTTTTTCCTGCCGTGACTTTGCCTGCTAACTTTCATCCTGCACAGCTCCGGGCCAAGGACCCCCTCGCAGGGCCAAAACACCATGCATGACAGTGAAGGACGGATCGGGCCCGCGGCCGGCAGCCCATAGTGCCAAACGTTGCTTTCTGAGCTGCCTAGATTAGAAACTAGCTTCAAACCTTCCTTTTTCCTGCCGTCATTTGCTTGCTAACTTTCATCCTGCACAGCTCCGGGCCAAGGACCCCCCCGCAGGGCCAAAACACAGCCTTGACTTTGCCTGCCAACTTTCATCCTGCATAGCTCCGGGCAAAGGACCCCCCCGCAGGGCCAAAACACCATGGCAGTGAAGGACGGATCGGGCCCGCAGCCGGCAGCCCATAGTGCCAAACGTTGCTTTCTGAACTGCCTAGAAACTAGCTTCAAACCTTGCTTTTTCCTGCCGTGACTTTGCCTGCTAACTTTCATCCTGCACAGCTCCGGGCCAAGGACCCCCTCGCAGGGCCAAAACACCATGGCAGTGAAGGACGGATCGGGCCCGCGGCCGGCAGCCCATAGCTGCCAAACAGCCTTGACTTTGCCTGCCAACTTTCATCCTGCATAGCTCCGGGCAAAGGACCCCCTCGCAGGGCCAAAACACCATGGCAGTGAAGGACGGATCGGGCCCGCAGCCGGCAGCCCATAGTGCCAAACGTTGCTTTCTGAACTGCCTAGAAACTAGCTTCAAAAAAGCAAAGTTCCTGCGTGACTCTGCTTGCTAACTTTCATCCTGCACAGCTCCGGGCCAAGGACCCCCCCGCAGGGCCAAAACACAGCCTTGACTTTGCCTGCCAACTTTCATCCTGCACAGCTCCGGGCACAGGACCCCCTCGCAGGGCCAAAATACCATGGCAGTGAAGGACGGATCGGGCCCGCAGCCGGCAGCCCATAGTGCCAAACGTTGCTTTCTGAACTGCCTAGAAACTAGCTTCAAACCTTGCTTTTTCCTGCCGTGACTTTGCCTGCTAACTTTCATCCTGCACAGCTCCGGAACACAGCCTTGACTTTGCCTGCCAACTTTCATCCTGCACAGCTCCGGGCAAAGGACCCCCTCGCAGGGCCAAAACACCATGGCAGTGAAGGACGGATTGGGCCCGCAGCCGGCAGCCCATAGTGCCAAACGTTGCTTGCTGAACTGCCTAGAAACTAGCTTCAAACCTTGCTTTTTCCTGCCGTGACTTTGCCTGCTAACTTTCATCCTGCACAGCTCCGGGCCAAGGACCCCCTCGCAGGGCCAAAACACCATGGCAGTGAAGGAGCAGGCAGCCCATAGTGCCAAACGTTGCTTTCTGAACTGCCTAGAAACTAGCTTCAAACCTTGCTTTTTCCTGCCGTGACTTTGCCTGCTAACTTTCATCCTGCACAGCTCCGGGCCAAGGACCCCCTCGCAGGGCCAAAACACCATGGCAGTGAAGGACGGATTGGGCCCGCAGCCGGCAGCCCATAGTGCCAAACGTTGCTTTCTGAACTGCCTAGAAACTAGCTTCAAACTTTGCTTTTTCCTGCCGTGACTCTGCTTGCTAACTTTCATCCTGCACAGCTCCGGGCCAAGGACCCCCCGCAGCTGCCAACTTGCCTGCGTCCTCTTGCAGCTGGCCTTCGTGCTTTCCGAACTGCCTAGAAACTAGCTCCAAACCTTGAACTTTGCCCCCTTCTGCTTTTCTTCTTGCTTGTCCAGTTTTCTTTCTTCGCCCCTTGTTGCTAGTAAGGCCTCCTCTGACGCGCTCCCCCTGCTGGCGGCAGGGGTCGGCGGATTTTCTGGTTTTCCTTCCTTTCTTTCTTCCTTCCTCTTCTCTCTCTCTCTCTCTCTCTCTCTGTGCAGCAAACCTGGGCGCTGCGCATGCCAAAGTCCATCATCAACGGCAAACTGAGGTTAACGCCGTTTTCATCCAGCAGACCATGCGCGTGGCACAAGCAGATCAAGAACTGATCATCAAACAGCGGATCAGCTGCCTGACAGCAGTTGTGGTTTCAGATTTGAGGGCATATATAATAGTCCCAAATGGAGGTTTCCTAAAAGGGGTGGTACCCCAAAATGGATGGTTTAAAACGGAACATCCTTTCGAAAATGATGATTTCAGAGACCTCCAAATTGGCAATTCAAATCAAAATGAAGATTAACACATTTCAAACAATTGGTTTAATGGGGTATTATAACTGTTGTAACACTAAGATTTAACTAGCCAACATGGGGATTCAGCCAGTCAACATTGGGATTTACAGTATGCATCTAAGATGAGGGTATAAGACCCATCAAAGATGTGGAATATGTCTAATGAAGAATAGAAATTGATAGTACCAAACCGAACCGTTTTTGGTGATAATATTGGTGTTGTTTCAGATTGAGGCTAGCAAATTTGGATTCAACCCCACTAGCGTGTGTAAATTTGAAATATATTATATCAAATGAAACACCAAATATGTGGCACCTGATATTTGGGTATGTGTTGAAAAGGCTACGCTGCATACCCAAAAATTGCATAATTGATTATAAGTGTGCTTTGCAGAAGGGGAACTTACAAATCTTATAATATGACACTAATTTGAGGGATATTTCTATTTTTGGTCAACCCGAATTTTCCTGCGCCACTTGGGATACCTCCTGGCGAACTGTGCTGGAATGGTTTGAAACTGAGAAACCACCGCAGCTTACCACCAACCGGATCATATAGCACCGTAAAAATTAGGATGAACATGATGAAATTTGATAAAACCAATAAAACTTGGCAAATCTGGGCAATAGAATTTCTAAGGGACTGACCTGTGCGAATAAATTTGTCATTTCTATAATTAAACCAACTTCAGTGTTTTCATTCATCCCAAATTAACACTGGTTGTTTGATATAAAACAGGTTTCTTATCCCCAAAGTTTCCGCAATCATTTTCTTGAAACCATGACAAACGATTTTCAATACTAAGGCACTCAGCCAGGTTTGTTTTGCAGGGAGGCCACCGGAACCAACATGCTCCAACTGTTAAGAGTCTGATTGCAGACCAAACAAGTGTTCCAAATGCAACGGTTTACAATTACAACAGGTACTAAATCAATGGAGGGAGGTCGCCCTGGATGTTCATGAGTGAAAACCATATACATGTCTTACATTTCCTTGGGATCCAAATTCCTCCAAACGATTATCCATATATTAATAGCAGGAAGGAAGAAACACGTGCCCATGAGTGTAGTTTGCACTATGTCGAATGGCCGCCTTGAATAAATGGATCAAACAACGCCAAAACCATGGCACCTTGAATTTTGTGGCTCACAAAACCATGCGACTGTGGCTGTGTTGACACTGGAGAACACCGATGTGGCCTTTTTTGTTTTCCACCATGAATATTATGGGGATCCGAGAAGGTCCCATCATTATTGCAAGAGATACATGTCCATCACGTGATAGTTTGATGTTCCAAACGACAAGACCATGCAGCCAGTGCATGTTGTTTTTGCGTTTGTTTTTGCTGGTTAAACTTTAATAAACTGTTATGCCTCTGCTGTGCCTAGTATCATATAGATTCATCTAGCCTATATATATATATATATATAAATTTGCTAATGTTTGGACGCGAAGTCATACATGCACATCCCCATGTTTGGTTGCTGAATGTGTCGTTGGTGGTGACATCCCTTGTGATTTTGCATTTTTTGTTTACATATATATATATATATATATATATGTATACATACATATTGTCCTCACGTTTCTTTGTTGCTCAATTTGGTTTGTACCAAACTTGGGTCAACCTTGGGGTGCCATTCAGAACTGCACTGGTGAAGTGTCGTCAACAAAAACAACTGCACCGGTTTAAGCCTGGCCCGTCATCACAATGGAAAACTGCAACATTTGGGATGACAATGATGAGCACCTTCAGACACTCAGACCCCCGTCAGATGGGATTCCTCTAAGGGGCCGAATCAGCTTATGCCTCCAAGATGCGTCTCTCGGCGGAGGAAACCTGGGAACACCGGGGACCATCCTTGAAGGGCCCTTGCAAAGAGATAGCCGATGTTATACCGGCAGAGAGGATGAAAGTTGAAGATTGACTAAGCTTGACCCAAGAAAAATTGCAAGTTTCATCAGCGGATTTTTTTCGATCACTCGGGATTTATGGAGAATTGAAGCCACAGAAAGTGACCTGTCAATGAAAGGACAAGACAGACACAACATTTTGAGTCAATAAGAACAGCTGGGTTTTCGACCACCAACAAGTTGTGAGAAATGCGAGGACAGGTCAAGATCTATGACCATCTAAGTCACAAGTTTGATTTGTTTCAGTCTCAGCTTTCCAGTCAGGGTATATGAGTTAAACCATGTCAAATTCACTCTTGCAGATGCAAAATCCTTATGGCGTTCAGAACCCCAGGGGTATTGTGAAGAAATTTAGCAGTAGTACTCTGATTTGTGGTTTGGAACATTTTTTATTTTTTCCATATCTTGGGAATAATCATCTCACCTGGCTTTCATATTTTTCAGAGGGGTAGGTATACCACCAACCAGTACTGATACTCACTGGTTGGTAGCTTTAATGATGTGTCTTCTTCATTCCGAACTTGGACGAGTTTCTCCTCAATGAGTTTCATATGTCGCAAGGAATTTGAGTGGCCAGTTGTGCCAAAAAACGTTGGATCATCGCCTTTGATTTTCTTATATATATATATATATTATATAATACACATCTCTGTCAGCTCATAGGTTTTGATTTTCATATTATATATATATATATATCTATCTATACATTTGTATAGATAGATTTGCACTCCAGAAATACGTAGTTGGAGTTTGTGTCTATTGTTCCATTTCCCCGTGTATATTTGATATATATATATATATATGTACAGTATATACAATTATATATATATGTACATACACATATTCACCATGTATTTTGATCATTTTTGATGCCTGGTCCAGGTCAATTTTTCGAAAAGTTGGACAAGAATCATTCGGGCTTCCTCACCTGGCAGGCACATTAACAGAAAAGTTTGGACCGCTGGAACAGTAACGAAGATGGATTTGGTGGTAAGGGAAAACCTATAGGAAACCATGGTTTTTTTTATCATCAAATATAGGGGGTTCCTGTAAATGTTCTCATCATCCAATTCTGTGATAACAAAAATCATATGAGTTTGCTATTGCCCATATGCTCCATGTATGGTATATTTACCAACATTTGCCCTAAAAATCACCCAAATGTAGGTAAATATACCATACATGGAGCATATGGGTTATGCTATTGGAAACAGTTCTCGGCACCCATTTTTTGTCGGCATTTCAATGGATTATTAAGATACTCAGAGGGTTGGAGACCTTGTTTCGAGAACAGGCTGCATCCTTTGATTTTTGGGAAGCCCTTGGGTGCCACCATGAAAACATCGAGACCTTCGGAAAGAATGATGATTCAATGTCCATACCTAGACCCTCCAAAATACCACAAAAAAATGTTAAACATATTTAAACATACTAAAAATAAGGGAGATAGGGAGTAAAACTCCCTTTTATGGGTACTTGGACCATTGGAGGGTTTAGGTGCATGTCTTTGCTGATCTTTATTCAAAGAGATATAGGTCCTGGAAGTCTGATACAAGGGAAGCAACCACAGCACGAAGAGGATAAGATGTGATAAGATATCCGTTCCGGTGGTACTGTTGAGGATTAAGATATCCGTGTTTTTTTCCACTCCAAAAACGATGAATGATGGGTCACAACAGGGTACACCCAAATGGCAGAGCTTTCCACTCTCTCAACACCAGACCATTTATGGTTCGCAGGGGCTCAAAATTTGATACAGGTAGCCATAACATATGAGAGCACCACAAGGTTGTGAAAGAAGCTGTCAAAATGCCGGTCATGATACTGTAAAAACCCTGGTTGTTGCTAGTACCCTCTGGTTATGACTAACATAGCCATGGTATAGACGGCCCATAGAAATAGATGATTTTCCCAGCTAGAACCCTCCATTTATAAGGGATTTTCCATGGCTATGTTAGTCATAACCAGATGGTAATGCTTGGCTGCGTGGTGCAATCTAGCTGGCAAAAGCCACCTGTTTCCTCATGTTTGTACATATAGAGGAGGATAATGTATAAAGGTACTTGACCTGTATTATATTCAAAATTATTTTTTTGACAATGTCAATATCACTTGTATCATAACAATACATATGTAATATAATATGTATATATTGGGGCCTGGCTTGGCCTCTTTAGCTGTGAGGATTTAGGGCTATTTATAAAAATCCTAGAGCTATTTATAAAATTCCTAGGGTTATTTATAAATTATTCATTCAGATTCAAGTTATTTATAGAATTCTTAGGGCTGTCAAAAAGATCCAATTCATAAACTTTGAAAGGGTATTGAAAACTGCTGGGAGCTATTTATACAAGTCTTGGGTTATTTATAGGATTTCCTGGAGTTATTTAAAGTTATGATTTACAATCATTTTGGGGCTATGTCTAAACCTCAGGGAATTATATATCATAAACACATAATATATATATATTATTTGAAACACATATATAATTTACCATGAGTTCCAAAACTTTCGCCAAGCTTTCCATGGGGAAGGGGTCTTGAGAAGCACATGTTCAGTCCAAGTATAGAGATTTCAAAGCTTCAGCTGCGGGAACGCACAAAATCCCGTAATCAAATATATTATAAATTATATATTATATATCTATATATATGTATATATATATATGTATATATATATATATATATATTTATTTATTTATTGGTGGATGGAATTGACAATTAAGCCAACCAGTGAACAAACACAATGTTGAATCTGCAGTCCCCCATCACCATTCATCCGACCCTGATTCTGATGGTCCATCTTGATTGGGCACCCTGGCAATGCCTGACTTGGCAAACCCAAGGAAAGGCGCGTCCTGCTGCTTTTTTTTGCGACCCTAGCCCCAGCCAGAGATCTGTGACGGAAATGTCAAAGTCAGAGCCAAAGCGACTGCAGCAGCAGCAACGCCAAGCACTTCTAGCATGGTCGGTTGCGAAATGCCACTGCAAAGTCTGAGCCAAATCTACTCTAGGAAGTTTAATTGTTATAAAAAGGTGCCATGCAGTGACATCTGGGATCCTATGATGACACCTGGCACAAACGCTACCCAAAAACTGCTCTCTACTTACTTCTTTCGCTTCTTCTCAGCCGGTGCCTGGCGCGACTTCTTGGCAGGCTTCACTTGCGAATCTTCTCCTGAACGCTTCTTCTTCTCCTCTATGGCAGCCTTGGCTGCGTGAGGACTCAAATCTGGATCGGTTGTGGCAATCCAGTTGTCGAGCTTCTGGATCAGGATCTGCGGCAAGTCGCCACGGCTGATGCCAACTGAGGCGGCAAACTGCATTGACTTTGCCACATAGCCTTTCTGATCATGCACGTAATCGGCTGGATTAATGACCATTGGGGCCACTGCCATTGCACTCGCAGTCTTTGCACTGAGCTTTCTGTATTCCTGGCACTGGAAATTGGGAGAAAATAGATTTGGATTCTGAAGCTCAAGACCATAGTTTAAATGCACTTGTGAGTTTTGCACGCATGCAAAAACAGTGAGAGCGTTCTGGGTCAAAACAAAACAACGCAGCTACAAAGCAATCCGAAATTTGGCAAAAATGGTGATTAAGAGGCGGTACAGGTTTGGGTTTGGGACCTGCAATATAAATGTTTCAGGCTTGCAAAATCAATTCCCTCCCTCACTGGAAATTCTGCATTGTCCTCCACGTCCGCCAGGAGGTCTGGCAGCAAGTGGCCACCCCAGGCCTCCCCATGAACAGAGAGAGCACCCATGCAACCGCTCAATGCCTTCAGCAACGGGAGAAAGGTGGCGCAGGCTTCGCGGTAGCCCAGAAGAGCATCCATTTCCTGTTCCAAGACCTTTGTCTCATCTTCGGAAGCCTTGAAGATCCATGCCACTTGGTCAATCTCCCAACTTTCAAGGGCTGGAAGAACACACCTGCAGCAACCAAAAAATTAGGTTACACAAGAAATGCAGAGATCCCAAAGCTTACTCACATGATATTGTAATCAGTGTAACAAGTAATACTGTACTTAGATCGCCGCCTCTTTAAAGACTTGCCTGGGGGTGCGAGCCTGCAGAATCGACATGCACTTGCGTCTCACAAGAGCCACTTTGTGCGAGAATTTACAGATCAAAAACCGCGGACCAAGACCAGGGTGCACACTTTGATTGTTCGATCCTGTGCAGTCGAAATGCATTTAGACAATTACAAGAGCCAGTTTGTGCGAGAATTGACAAGTAACATGTCCGCTAGCAACGCGCCCGGCATGTTTGCGTTTTTTTGCCATTTTGGAACACCGGTCGTAAGCAATGCTTCGTGCTTTGTTGGCGAAGCCGAAGCATGTCAAATCCATGTTTGTGTGAGCACACAACATCATGCAAAGGCAAACAACATGATACTACGTGCTTGTTAATGTTTTTTGGGGGGATAGGGAGCTGGATTTTTTCCAAGGATCTTGAGGAGACCCCGCCTTGGAAATTCCAGGCTCCATGGGGCCCCGATGTACATATAGTTAATTATCATTTCATGATAAGATCAAAAAACTTTAGTCATGAGCCATGGGGCCATGCTTTGAAATGTTGACCGCTTGACTCACTTGACATACAACAAGAATGTTTCATCTGATGTTCTGAAACTGTGTGATTAATCAAAGATCACGTCTTGTCAGGCCCTAGTCGTCCAGTCCAGTCCAACATTGTGATTGTGTGGAATGGAATGGGTCAATACCTGACTTGCTGCTTTATAACTTATAAATTATTAATATTAACTAAAACTATAAAACTTAAAATAGTCAATAGTCTTAGTCTATGAATCGGTGGTATCTCGTTAGTTATTCCTGTCACATCCCATGCATGGCTTCAAGACTTCAAGGCCTGAACTTCTCAAAATCGGTGAAAGCTTTGTCCATATAGCTTCGCTTCTGCCGCAACCAAGACAGCAACTTCTCTTCGAAGGCTGCAGTCCACAACTGAATCTTCTCAAATTCAGATGGGGCGACTTCCATCAAGACCTTTTT